AAGCCACGTAAACAGTGTAAAGCATAAAAAAAATCAATTCTATGAAAATAATCGCAGATTTTTTTTTTTTTTTTTTTTTTTTTTTTTTTTTTTTTTTATTACAAATAAAAGCAGTTCTGAAGCAGAGCAGTCTCTGACACCAATTGCTCAATTATCAAATTTAAACTTTTTTGTAACTAAGAACAAAATTTTAGCTGCAGAATTACTGTGGGTTATGAGACTTGTTTATTCATATTTCTTTTAATGCATTTACTGATACTCTTATATTCCTCAAAATGTTTCATGACAGTAATAAAGCTAAAACTATGACCCTTGGACATACAAAAATGTCATATTTAGTGCAATTTGATTTAGCTGCATAATTAAAAAGATGCTCATTTCTGATCTTAAGAACACTGAATTTGTATTATGCTTTGATGAAGCTTTAAATAGAATTGTCCAAAAAGGGCAAATGGGCCTTTTAGATTTTTGGACAATATGAAGAATGATGTGAACACAAGATATCTTATGTCAATTTGGTAAAAATATATTTACGTGTGCTTCTTGACATAAATTGACGATTTTTGGCATTACTGAATTTGTGCAATTCTTTGATTTGTTATTTTGGCTTTTTGTAGCAACGGTTTATGCTAAAAAAATCACAGCTGCAGAAAGACACGCATAGATTATTTAAAGATAGTCCTGCTCGACGAGCAGATTATACTGTGTGCTTTAATTGTATGACTTTTTTATGCTAAAATTTTGTGAAGTAAGATGGTGTGACAACATGCTTGTTGCCAAGAGAGCTTTTTTTATTTATCCTCATGTGAAAAAATATATAGAATCATCCAAACTGCTGAAGACTGAGGGAAGCTGTTAAAGATAAAATTCTTTTTTTTTGGGGAAGGCCTTTTTTTTTTTTATTGGGAGTGTTCTACATTTATTTCTAAAATCATTTCAGACAACTGATCTTATGTGCCTTTTTCTGTACTTAGCTTTCCATAGTATGCTAAATCAACTTCTCTCAAAATATGTCAAAAGAGATATACCACAAGAGGCTAAAACTCCTGAAAAATTGATAAAAATAGCTATTCTGGATCAAACCATTTATTGTAATGTTGCAGATATTGTATTGGGTATTGCTGCTGGTACAAGTCTAGCAAAAGTAGAGTGTCTGATCTAAAGAAAAAACAATTCACTACTCAATGCAGAACCTTTTTGGTTAAGCATCCATCAAAAATAGTATAAAGAAATCTATTTAAATATAGCTTGGTCAAATACATTTCTTCATTATATCTTAAGCTCATTATTTGATAATGCTCCTAATGAAATTTTATGTGAGAAAAGGATGAAGAGTTGACTGCATATACAGTACAGAGTCCGTAATCCAGACTCGTCGTGACTTCGGCGATTCCGGATTAGGGGGTTTTCCGAATTATAGATCATTAATTTAAATTTGATAAGATGGCATGCAGAAATTATAAAATTAAAAATATGAAGCCATAATTTATGAAATAAAGAGCAATTATGATCTAAAGGGTATCAAAATTTACAAAAAAAAAAAAAAAAAGCTTAATATTTATTTGTTTACTTTATTAAACATTTCTTTCAATGTAAGTTGCTTAAGTCGCTTCGTTTTTTGTGATAATACTTTCTCTTTAATTCTATAAACAGACATAATTTCTTGTTCAGTTACAAAGTTCCACTGTTCAAGTCCTGTAATTGCTATATCGAGAATACCGACTAACTTGTCAATCGAAATACCTCTCTGTCACTTTCTTCACTATCCGAAGTGCGCATGGGTAAACCCATTATGTGCATGCGTAAGTTTGTGGCTTTGAGGTCCAGATTATAGATCATTCCGGATAATGGACGTCTGGATTACGGACTTTGTACTGTATTATATGAAAGTGAAAGGATGGATTTTGCGTTTGCAGATAAATCAAAAGTGCAGTTTAAAGAACTGTTATTAAGAAGTAAGAGTATTTGGAAAGACACTTTTGTTAACTATGCTGTAATGCAACTTGATATTTTTTTAATAAGGACTTGACTAATAATTCAGATATTAAAGAACTCTGAAGCATTTAAAACTGGCTCTTATTTTAAATATGTTAAAGCCACAGTAGAAAGTAGTTTTTCAGTTAATAATGTTATGTTGGTGGAAAATCTTCAGGAAAATTCTTTAACAGCAATGCAAAGTGTCACAGTTAATGGTGGAAAAAAATCTGTTTAAAATTTTATATGTAGCATTGAAAAATCTGTGAATTTCACATCTGATTTTGGTTATTACGTAGGTGGAAGGAATTGTAAATATTTGCCGGTATAAGACGCACTTTTTTGTCTGAAAAACAGGGTGCGTCTTATACGTCGATAATCAGTTTTTTATTACATTCGCTTCGGGAAGTTTCCTCTATTCGGAATTATGCCTCTTTTTTGTTGTTGTTGTTTTGTTTTGTTTTGTTTGTTTCCTTATGGAGTGTGGGAATATTACAGTTACGTAGAGTTCAGTGAAGAAACCTGCCTTACTGGTATGGGATCAGTTTTGTTCTCACAGAACAGAAGATGTTAAAAATAAACCATCTGGGTTTTGACAAAGAATATTAAAATGTGTTCTTTTCCAGATAGATTGGGTATTTGCAGAAAGTATAACCTTCTTTGGAGTATTAGCACAAAACATTTTGCAGAAAGTATTACTTTATATCTAAACTACCTTAAATTCATTACAATGATCAGTAATAAAGTTTTATCCTTCAAAAATGTGTATAGAAAGGGGGTGCGTCCTATAAGCCTGCAAATACAGTAATTTCTTTTGTAAATGTATGTTGTTATGCATGTAGAATTTTTTAATTATACTTTAAACTAATTACATTTGTGTTGACATTTTATTAAAATGTATTTCGGTGTTGGTGATTGTAAATATTTCAGATGCACTAATAGTCACTTATATGTAATTATATATTCTTTTCATGTAATTAAAAAGGGAATTTATGTGGTCTTAAATAATTTTGTGTTACAATAGATTACTGAAGAGAATGTTGGTTTAAGAAGCAACTCTTATTATAGTCATGTAATTAGCAAATTTTCATACTTTCTATTATAATTATCACCATAATTAATTTACTCTCAGCCCAGCCAGTGCACACTATGTGGCTAGACTGGAATTTTCTTAAAACACACCTGAAAGTGTGAAGGAATTTCTTTCTCCTATTTGAGTGACAACCCTGTTTTACTGTCCCATTTATATTAGTGTTCTGTAGGAAAAGCAGCCTTTATATTCCTTTGTTCCCTTCATGGAAAGAAAGGATAAAATGACTTGCAATGATTTTGAAATTATGAATGAAAGATCTTGAAAAGTGTCTGTGAATAAATAACAGTCTGTGAAATTTCAAAGGTTAAGCATTTTTGAATTCAAGGATTTTAAGTTAAAATTTATATGAACAAATCACATTTCTCAGTTCACATTAAATATACAAGCAAATATGATATCTGACCTTTATTTATTTAAAATATAGAAAAGTTATTTGGTTTTATCATTCTGTTTTGAAAAAAATATGGCAACTATCATAATTTAATGTTAGGAAAAGCCTCTGATTCCCATTTAGTTTAGTTCAAAGGAAAAAATTTGTAATAATCAAGTAGTTTAAAAAATAACTTTAAATGAGGGACACATATTCATCTTTTTCTTTGATTACTCACCATTATCTGTATATATATCTGTATAACAGAGATATTCTCTAGTTTGTAATTAATTCATGGAGATGATGGATGTTAAAAAAGAATGGTGGTGAAAAAAGTAGAATGGATTTCATCATTAGTCTGAACAAGCAGTAACCATGATTTTTCTGTTTGGAGCATCAGTATGCCATCCATCAAAAACATTTAAAATTGCTGTCTTGTAGTCAAGCATTTTCTGAACTTTTTGCCTCACACATCAAAGGAAAAACCAACATGGAATATGAATTAGAAAAGATTTGATTATTTTAGATAAACAAAGCATTCAAGACCTATCTGTCTAAAGGTAGGAATACATTTATGGAGCACTTGCTAATAAAAACTGGGTCATATTCATATTGCACATGGGGGGAAAACCATGAAATGCCTACATCAATGAATGAATCTGCCTCAAACTGGCATTGTTTAGGAATTTTTAACTCTTGACTACTGATAGTCACATGAGAAAAGAACTTCTGAGATAGACATTTATTAGTACAAAATCTGACATACAGCTCACTGAATTACCAGTGGAAAAATAAATAGAATAAAAAAAATCTAGGAATAGAGAATACTGACTAAAGCACCTGCTTCCTCAACAAAAGGAAGCAAGTGTACCTTAAGTATGATTTTCCTCTGAATTAAATGACATTTTTGCATGTCGCATGCTGGCTAAGGAAGTAATATTGTGGCTAATGACAATACATTTATTGATGCTGGTCACAGTCGCACTTTCACCCTGGAGTGGTTGTGGCGGGGGTAGCATTTTTCCATCTAACAAAAATAATAAAGAAATCCCTAATGTTGTGATGTATAACATGTCATCTAACTACATTTAAACTGGATTTCAACTTATGATCTAAAATTTGGAATTATCTGAAATCCAAAATCCCCAGGGTCCCGACAATTCTGGCTCTTGAACTTTGTACTGCAGTATACAGAACATTAAATTTCTATGTGTATATTTTAAAACAGATCTCACGGAAAGCAATCTGTTATTATAACAATAAAATAATTATCCTGATCTTCAGTTTTTATTTTAATTAATATCTGAAAAGCTTGCAAAGATCTATTTCTGCATTTCAAACTGGTGGAAGTATGCTGATTCATGCTCAAGAAAACTACTGACTAGGCAAGAGGCATATATGCACTTATTTTTAAAAACCTAAAAGGTATACTTAGTATGTCTTGGAAGCTTTGTTTTGCTCAGTTATATGTGTTTTATTTCATGCTGCTTATGTTTTCGTAATTGAATATTTGATTAATTTAATAATTGTAGTATAGCTCCAAGTCGTATAATCAAGTATTTTTTTAGTTGCTGTGGTGCTGGTACAGCAGCTGATACAGAAATGACCACAAAAATGATAGCATCTCAATTAGAACTGCATCGTCGAGCTACTGATAGAATTGTTCCTGTTGTCACAGCTGAACAACTATTGAAACAGTACTTGTTCAGGTGAGGAAAGTAATAAGTAACTAAACATTTAAATAGAGTTAAAATTCTTGAAATAAATTTTATATTTTAAATTTTCATTAAATATTACAAGAAAAACTCCAAGGAATGCATTTCTTGTCTAATGCATGTTAAAAAGAAATTGCTTGAAATGAATATAAAAAATTTCATCAATCAGTTTAGATAAGAAAATTGCCAAAGTTAAAACATAACTTAGTTTTATTTGCTTAAACATTTGCTTTTTATCGAAATGAAAACTGCTCCATAGCTTTTGAAGCCTCAAATAAAAATTTCTTAGTGGGAAAAAAAATATTAGCAAGAATGAAATTTTTATTGAAATTTCCACAAAAGGAAAATTTTACCATTTATTACGGTCTTTTCTTATATTTAAGAAATCTTATTAATGTAATGTAGTAATCGCTAAATATAAACTGCCATTCAAAATTAGGAGAAGTTTAATGCTTTATATAAAATTCTCGGTTATTTAAGTGTTGTTGCATGCATAATGCTCCTTAAATGTAGTATCTGTCTCCTTTTAACCTATTTTAATTATATTGCTGGATTTAGAATAAATTTATAACTGTAGGTTAGAAAACCAAATGAAAAAAAAAGGACATAACATAAAAAATCATGTTATTAAGCATTTGTAAAATAAAAAACAACATGCACTGTTATCTGAATATCATATACACTGAAGAGCCAAAACATTAAGACATCACATTTTTCAGTGAACTCGTCTGGATAACGTGGATTGCACATGATTAAGTGGAAATTGTATTTAACTGCTGCTTGGAGAAGACAAGAAATCATTCTTGCACTTACTTTTGTTTGTGATGGGAAAGGTTGCTAATCTAAGTGAATTTGATAGAGGGCATATTGTAATGGCCCGAATACTCAGAATGCTATCTCCAAACCTGCATGACTGTTATTTTTTTACGATCTGCCCTTGTTAGTATTTATGCTAAGTGGATAAATGATGGTGAAACCAGCTGTAGATGCCAAAGTGTTGGATGTCCAGGCATCATCAAAAAAAAAAAAAAAAGACATTGGAGACAATCCTGCTTGGTACAGCAAAATTGTGGCCAGGCAGTGGTTTAGCTGACAGCCCAATGCAATGCAGATGCAAGTGTTTTGGAACACACATTTCAGTGGACTCTGTTGGATATAGGAGTGTACAGCAGATGTCCTACTTGTGTGCCTCTGCTGACCAAATCTCATTGTCAACTGTGCCTACAGTGGGCCCGGGAACATTGAGACTGGACCATGGATAAGTGATTGTTGGCTGGTCAGATGAATTGCAATTTCTCATTCATCGTGTCAATGGTCATGCCAGAGTACACCCTCTTCCAGGCAAACAGTTGCTCCCTTTCTTTACATACACAGGCTGGTGGTGACAATATTATGCTTTGGGGGACATTCCCATGGGAGGCTCTGAGACCCTTAGTTGTGGCAGATTTGACTATGAAAGCAGTGGATTATCTGAACATAATTGTGGATCAGTTGCACCCTAACATGACATCTGTCTTCCCAACTGGAAATGGAATCTTTCAGTAGAACAATGCCCCATATCACAAGGCTTGAATCATGTTGGAGTTGTTCATGGAGCATAAGGATGAATTCCAATTAATGTCCTAGCCACCTAACTCGCCAGATCTTAACCCTATAGAGGATATTTGTAATATCATTGAGCAACAGCTCAGAGCTCGAACACTAGCATGTTGGAATATCTCGACTTTGTGACTGCTGCTTAGCCATTTGGTATAATCTTTCTCCAGTCAACTACCAAAAACTAGTGGCATCCATGGCAAGTCAAGTTGCAGCTGTATTGCAGACCAGAGGTCGCACAACACGTTATTCAGTAGTGTATATTTGGTTATTCAGTAGTTTGTCATAATGTTTTGGCTCTTCATTGTATATTGCATTGGAGTTTTCTTGTTAAATGTATTTAATTACAAGCTGTAATTATCTATGCCTATGCAATTTTAAATCTCTGCTTAGATGTTTTAATGGAATCTTCACTAACTGGCATTTGCTACATGTAAAGAATGAAGCCAAGATAAATACATAATTTAAATACAGTGGTCTTTCTCCAAGGTGATCACCTATAGTTTCAGGCAGTTTGTCTTTTGTGTAGGTGTTTATCTCGAAGAAATTAACTGTTGGTGACTGCAGTTATATTAAACCATGGATTTATTCTTTTCAGGTTTTGTTGGAAACTAACAAACTAAAATATTAAAGAGGAAGTAGTGTATCAGTTTATTAATGTAGCTAAAGTAATACAGGGTTCATACAGTTCCTTAAAAGTACTAGGAAATCATGGAAGTTCTTGCCGTTTTGGGGAGCAGTTACTTTTGGCGCGTTAGTATGGTCAAATTGGTTCTGATGGCATCATATTTTACATTCCTTTCAACCCTTATTTGGTAGGGAGCTGTTCGATGCATTGCATGCTTCGCTTACCCGTTTTGTAGGAAGTGCAATCACTGAAAAAACGTTATTGGAAAAGGAGTTTTTGAAGCCTAATTTGTTTTGTAACTACAAATTAGGAAACAAAGCTGCATGCCTTATGTTGGTCATCTATCCACCCTTTGACAAAAGTCCAGCTGGAAGAGAAAATCAAGCAAAATCCTCATCAAACCTGCCAGGAACTTGCACACAGGTTTGGAATATCTGACAAAATCATTCAGTCACATTTTCATAATCTTTGGATGACATGGAAACTAAGCAAGTATGTTTCTCATGTCCTGTCCAAGGAAAACAAGCTCCAACATTTGAACATCTGCTTTTTTTGGTGCCGTACCATAATAAAGCTTCACTCCTGTGCAAATCTTGACATGTGACTTAAAATGGGTCATGTCTGATGACTGGAAGATGAAACATCATTGGTCGACTTCTGGTTTGGTGTCATCGACTGCTAAACCAGACATTCACCAAAAGAAGGTAATGCTGTGTGTTTGGTGAAACAGTGCTGGCATAATCCACTATGAATATCTAGAAAGCAGAAAAACCATAATAGCCGAGGTCTACTTGTCTCAACTGCAAAGAGTTTCAGCTGCACTGCACCAGAAACAGCCAACTCTGGTCAACAGAAGAGTTCTCTTCCTCCATGATAGTGCCAGACCTCTTACAGCAAAAGCGACGAAAAAGGTCATCAGAACACGGAGCCTTAGCCACAATATTCTCCGAATATCGTCTCATTGGACTAATTTTTGTTTTTGGCCATGGATAACCACCACCTGTGGGAACAGTAGTTCCGAAAATGTGATGATGTCACAATGCCTACATCACAGTTTTTGGACTGCAGAATTTTTTTTTTATTTCCAAAAAGGGCATTTAAAAGCTTATGTCTCATTTGGAACATATAATTGAAGCCACTGGTGATTATTTCAAAGAATAAAATGGACGTTTAAGACTTTTGTGGGCCATTTTTTATGATTGACGAAAACCATACTTACTATCTTGGTTACCTGCTTAGGTTTTTTAAAAATAATTTTTGGACCTTAAAAGTCCTTAATTTCAGCCCAAATCGGCAAAAAGTCCTTAATTTTACTTATCTGGCATTTTTGTCTGTTTTTTATGATTACCATTTCAGCATGAATTAACAGTTTTGAGGAATATTTTCCAATTCATTGACAACTATGTATTTGCTGGGTTATCATTTGAATTCTTTTCTATTTCTTAGTAGGAAATAAGATCCAGCCTTTATTGAAACATCAGCATTTCAATATTTTTAAATTATTTTTATTTTATTTTTTGAGAATGTTCACGAGATATTATGTTAGAAATATCCTTTTCCTTTTTGAGATAAGATTTCTTTTATTATGCAGCACTAAATTTGGCAACTTCAAAATATCCAGATATTTGCGGATTTTTCGACGATTATCTTTTTTTCCCAAACATAATAAAATTGAAAGATGCTGTTAAAATAATAATATATTAAAATTGTAATTACAAAATAGCATTAAAATAAAACATTTTTATTTTTCCATACCTTTTTTTTTTTTTCCCATTTTGGCAATTTAGGAATATTTGGGGTTTGAAAAATAAATAAGATAATAAATGCTATGAAAACATAGTTTCCAAAGCACCTCTTAGCAACAGCTAAAAAGCTATGCGAGATTTATATACCTATGCTTCCAGAAAAATGTGACCAAATGAAAGATGTTTTCATGGTATTGTCATGTAATGAATTGTGTGTTGTAAGAAATTTGTGATGGATTTCGTATTTTTGAAATAACTGTGAAATCAAACTTTGAATTTTCTGCTTTTGATCCTAGAAGTCTTCTTCTTAACATGTTTATCTTCCTTTTATTTTCTCATCTTTTCACTTAATACAAGCATGGAAATTTGCAAAAGTAGTTCTAATCTTGTCACATGGACAGCCATCTGCAAAAAAGGAATTTTTCTGTAAATAAAGAATTTGAAAACTGACAGCTTTAAGATTCATCCTATATGTCTCACTACAGTACACATTGGGCATTTTAGCACCTGGTGTAACCTTTGCGGGGTCCTAAATTCTACACATTTTGCCATCCTTAAATTTTGTGGCTCATAGCTTAACTAACTTTTCAAAATATTGCAGCACTGGCCCTGACCTTGTATTATTTCATACTTATTTTAAAGAAATAAAATTACAATCTTCTATATATTCTAAGTATAAGCATTTCTTTAGAATAATAAAAATCTCCAATTCAATCTGAAATATTAAATGTAGAGGAAACTTATTGAGAAACAAAATGATTACATAAACGGAAAAAGAATTGTTCTTCAAAGGTATATTCTTAAAACATTAACAAGTTAGGAAATGAAGCAGAGATTAATAGAAACAATGATTTGTTTATTTAGACAACAAAGATTTTAAAAGAAGAAAACTGATGTGAATTAGCTAAAATATCTTGAAAATTTTCGAATTTAAAAGATGCATAAACATTTTGTTGTGTGTTGTTACAAAACGTACATGTTTCAAGCTTTTTATTTTGTGTGTTTTTCTTGTTATTGTTTTGAAGTATCATAAATTACATGTGCAATTATCTATATTTTAAACTGTCTGTAAAATGCTGTGTATGCATTCTGTAATAAAATTATTGATTAAATGCAAAGTCAAGAATAATGTAACAGAAAACCTTTTTTTTTTTTAATCTGAATTCAATGTTCTGAAGTACTTTATGGTATTTTAAAGCACAGGAAAGAGATTTTATATGTAAAGCAAAAATATGCTACAAAAATCAGGTTATAAATTTTGCTTGGTAATTTCAGAAGTATCCATTGCTTAGGATCACTACTTTAGTATGAAGTTTGCCTATTTTGTTTTATCTTTTGGTTAATCACTTCCTTTTTAGAACATTTATAATTTCATAAAGTATATCAACCATCATATTATTTAATCATCTTTTTCTGTCAGCTTTGTTGCAAACTGTGAGCTGCACTTCCAAGTATTTTTAACTGTGTTTCTAAATTTAATGCTTTGTTTTACAGACATCTTAATCCAGAGTTGGTTATTTTGACATTTACAAAATTTAATTAATTTATGTAATATCAAATATGCACTACCAAGAAATGAACTACATAGTGCTATTGGAACCTTTTGCAGACAAGAAATAATAATTTAAAATAGAAATATGCAGTTCTCACGTTTCAGTTTTAAGATTAAATACTACTTGCGATGAAAATAATTTTACTGTTAGGGTAATGACTGAAAATGTAACTTCTTAATTTGTTTACAATGTGAAACATTTTACTTTGATTACTTTGATGAAATTAGAAATGATGAAATTTCAATTTTCTTATTAATAATAAATTCATTCTATTAGTCAGGTCAGGAAAACATGGATGTTCGTTTATGTTTTCAGAAATATTAATCAGTTTCAGAACTGATCGCTATGAGAGGATTTATTGTAATTACATGGAAGTCTTATTCAGAAAATGATGTAACATAATGCAGATTGTTTCTATATAGTTTGGATGGTCAGATCAGAAAGGGGGAATTTACTGTTAAGGAGAAAGAGTCCATGCATCATTGAGTGACCTTGTCATTATATGTCTTTCATGTGCTTTGTTCATATTTGCAAAAATGAATGCTCAAATTCACATTAGTTAAATATATGTTGAAATTTATATGTACTATTATTTATGCTGAAAATTATCGTAATTTATTAATTTTATGCAAACTATGCATATATCATTGCTTATCATGGACCTAAATTCTCTAGCAGAATTTTTTTGCCCCTGTAATTAAAAGGGAAAAAAATAGCAGTCAACAGACTTCCATCCCATTTCAGCAAAATCTGCCTAGATCATAGTTGATTTGCCAAGATGTGTTAGGGTTAATGTTTTTATTGTAAGTTAAAATGCGTTAAATTGGTAAAAACAAGGTTTTGGATTTTAGTGCAGAAATCAAAAAGAGATATAATAGTTATTCTTTACAGTATAAATATAATAATTAAATAACTATAATAATGTATTATTGTTGTAGTTATTAATTATGATATTTTTTCTGTGTGTAATAATAAACATAAATTTTAATGCAAAAATAAAGATATTAGTATATTACAAATAAAATAATGATTATATTATTAGATTTTTTAAAGCTGATACATTGGCTAAGAAAAGAACTTTGATAATACAATGTATTAATCAACAGCTTTCTCTGACTCTTAAAAAATTCTTAAGCAAGATATGATTCAACATGCTATAAATAAGAGATGAAGGATTCTGGAGTAAAAGACAATTTTCATTCCCAATTTTTCAAGAAAGACAGCGGTAGCTCTATTTAGACATCTAACTGGACATGACTGTTTGCAATTGGAACAGAATTGGAGTGGTGGATTCCCCAAACTGTATTTTGTGTGACTCCAATCAGCCTCTAATTTTTGAACATTTAAATAATTGTATTGCACTTTCTCGGTACGAGGACATTGTTAAAAAGTACTGGAGAGCCCGTAAACTAATGGCTAACGTGCTAATGTTTGGCATTTGTAAAATAAAATAGTATTAGGTTTCATTGTAAAAATACAATAAAGAAAATTATGTATATAGTATAGCAAAATTTAATTTGGAAAACACTCGTATTCTTATTAACATGTATCTGAATAAATGCACAGAATTGAACACAATGTAATCCAGCAGTTAATTGCAGATAATTGATCAGCATATCAGCTTAGACCACTATAATTTTCTACCTCCTTAATTCTGTGCTCTTTGAAGACTGTAGAAATACACAGGAAAAGAATAAGAATGAAAAAATTCCTACTGTGTGATTCAAGTCCAGCTACCCTGTTTCATAAATAAATCACTCTGAATGGTGCACACGTGTTTGTACTCATGGTCTGAGCTGTGGGAATCAAACTAAATTCCAATGGTGTTTAAGATGAAACATTATCATTCTTATATTCAACAGAAAAGAAGTAGAATATTCCTACATAGCTAAACATTTATATCATGTAAAAATCCTTGCAAGTAAAAATTAAACTTTTGATGCTTTTAAAGCTTAGTTTATTATAATTAATAAAATATAAGATAATACTCTCTTTCACATCAGGTATCAGGGTTATGTTGGTGCGGCATTAGTACTTGGTGGTGTCGACAATGCAGGTCCTCATATTTATTCCATTCATCCACATGGTTCAAGTGAACAAGTGCCTTACACAAGCATGGGTTCAGGTTCTCTAGCTGCTATGGCTGTTTTTGAAAAAGGATGGAAACCTGATTTGTCAGTAAGTGATTATTCCTTCAGCTTTTTTTTTTTTTTTTTTCCCCAATATTATTCTGTTTTAAACAGAAATTTTGCTAATATGAATTTACAGGTAATTTTCACTCTAATAAAAAAATGTACATACATGTGACAACAGGATGGTTTTTTCAGTTATTAATAGCCAAATGAAAGATATCTTTTCACCTTAAAATGCCCTTATAAAAGCCATATCTGTTTTTCATGATACCTAAAGCATAATATATTAAGAGTTGTTGCTTAGCCTTTATTATTTAGCTTTAACATGTGAAGATCATACTACGGTCAAATTCCGATTAACACTTGTCTAAGAAAAGTTTAAGTTTGCTTAAAAATTACTGCCACAAACCTTCAAAATGAAGCTAAATTTCTATGTGAAATTTAAAAAAATAAGAAAATGTACGAGATGCAGATGGTGTCAGTGTACTTTACTTTTCCGAAACTTTGAGCCAGTTCTGTTTTTGCGCTTTAAAATTTTACAGAGACCAGCTTCTTTTAGAAGTTTCCTATGCCTCCACTTTGGGTTGACGATCACCTCTCCTCGTCAGTAATAATTTTACAGAACACACTCAACCATTGCCCCCCCTGCCCCACGCACACACAAAATATAACAGGATAGGACATTTTGAACACATGTTAAAATACTTTGCTCTGCTATTAGACAGTTTAAACCTTGTCGTATACTTTTTCCAAGAACTACAAAATTTTGGCTTCTCCAGAGCAGTTTGACTTCTACTTTCTTTAGCAAGAACACCGTTTAGTCATCTTTAGAATTCAGTTAGATCACACATAGAAGGTCATGTTAAGATTTCAGTAAGTTTGCATTTTTCAATTATTGTTTCAAATAGGTTTTTAGCTGTTTCAGTTTTAGCCTTTTTATCAGTTTTAGCCTTTTTATTTGTAGAATTCTCCCAAGTACAGTTTTTTGTTTTCTTGATATTAAAAGTTTAGTATAATCGGGGATCTCCCTATTTTTTGTTTGTTTAAATGACTTAGTTTTACTTTTTATTTATACTTAATTTTGGATTAGCATATATTGGTTTTAGACCAATTTGTTTTATTATTATTATTTCAATGTATATAATGTAAAGCTCTATGGTTTTTTGATTGTCATTTTGGCACTATGTAATGTTTTATTCCTTTTTTTTTCTCCAGGTGTTTCGACAATGTGTAGGGAAAATTCTGATACATTTGAGTTTTCGGTTTTATATGACTTTTTAAGTTTTTTTTTTATCTCAAATGGCCAGGAGAACGAAACATATTGACTTTTATGAAGCTTTTATTTTATTTTCCCTTGGTGTGTTCTGAATTGGAGTTTCAATAAAAGGATATTAATTTTTTATTTGTATATTTTTCCTTTCGCATTTTTATTTTTTTAAATTGTTCTACTATGAATTCTCTCTGTGTTAAACCTCTTATATACGGTTTCAATTATTATATTATAGAGGCATTGCCTTGCTAATTTAGATGCTTTATGAATTTTAATGAATTTATTAAATTTAGTGTAAAGAATTATTCACTTGTGTTACTAATTTACAATTTACTAATTTAGATGCTTGAAGTTCATTCTACTTCAATCCTGCAACTATAGCACAGGACGGGTTTAAAAAAAATTTATTCTAAATTTTTTAATTTGAATTGTTGGCCTACATATATATTTGTACAAAAAAGATTTTGGATATTTTTTGTTGTAAAAAATTGCTGTAATATATAGAGAGAGGAATATTTAATTTGAAAAACTATGTAAAATAAGAATATTATTATCAAACATCTATATGTCATCTCTAGGAAAAATAAGCAAATTAGATTATAAATTATTTGCTGAATGTGTTGCCAATAAACATTTTTTTAAGAATGTGATTATTAAAGATTTTACTTGAGTTTTAATTAGATGAAAATGATAAAATGTGCTGAAGAAAGATGTTGCTGCAAATTATCTTGTAATGCATAAAATATTTTTCTATTAATTAAAAACTTTATTTCTAGCTTGAGCAAGGTCAACAGCTCATTCGTGATGCTATTGCTGCAGGTATATTTAATGACTTGGGATCTGGTAGTAATATAGACATGTGTATAATTACAAAAGAAGGACGGCAGTATATCAGACCTTATGAAGTGGCAAATCTTAAAGGGGAAAAGTATGTTTAAAATTTTTTATCATTAAATTATATATGAAACTGTTTATTGCAGTTAGGTAACTAAAAATAATAATTAAGGCATATATTATGAATAATACATATTATGGCAAGCAACATAATACGAATAAGAAATTTTATTAATTAATTTATTTGTTAATATGATTTTAAGATAGATATAAAATACCACAGAATTTATTTAGCCAGTGTACTAATCTGAAAATATTTTTGATTAATAAGTTCTCTTGCATGTGCAATCTCAGTATATATATGTTTAGCCCCCTAAACAGGATAAATACTTATAGTGTAAATTAAGCATGTCAACTAATTTCTGTATGTATTTTTGCAGACAAGAAACATACCGTTATGCACCTGGAACAACTGAAGTGTTATCTGCGCAAGTCATTCCACTTGAGGTTGTTGAAACTACAGTTAAAATTCCAGGAGAAGAAGAAATGGATACTTCAGGAGAATGAAATGCAAGATTTATAATTTGATCTGATATTGATGTTAAAAATATTGAATAAAAATTATCAAGTATTAAAAAGTTGAACCTTTTGTTTATTTAAAAAATTTATATTTAATATCTTTAAACCAAGTTTTAATTTAATATTTTTTAAAAGTCATGCTGCTGTGCATGGTAAAAATTCTAGGTTTTTACATCCTTGTATGAAGTAAAGGATGTATTGTAATCACAAAAAATTCCACGTACTATATTTCAACAAAAATATTCATTTTAACTGCTATCGAATGCTGTTTAACGATGTTTTTGCATGACATCTGTACGAAAAGACAGAATAAAGGATTCTTCCCTTCTCCCAAAATGAATTATAAAACTGATTTAAAATGGATTCAGAAGAGATTTAATCACATCTGTACGTATGTATCTTGCATAACTCAAAAACAAATAGCCTCGGAACGTTTAAATTTTGTATGTGGGACTGCTACATGTAGATATACACCTCCCTTTTTAGTTACAATCGGCTGCACGAAAAGTACGTAAGTATACATATATATATGTATCCATTCTGTTCTTCGGCTCAGCTCAGCTCAGCTCAGATTCTTTATTCTCATAGGTTTGTAAATTGTGCATTTTTGTCTTTAAAAATGATTGAATTATTTTCCAATTAAGGTTTTTATGCCTCTAGTTAACCTGCATGTTGTAGTTGTAGAATTATCAACAATTTAAAAGTTGTTTATATGGCAACTAAGCCTTTTTTTTTTTTTTTAACCATAGTAGCCATATTTATTTACATTTGAAACTTGGCAGAAAAGTAGATTTGTTGCCAATCTAGAGAAACTAAGCACTGCAACAACAAAGTAACGTCTTCATTTATTATTTCAAATTAAACTAATTAATTCATTCTGGAATTATTTAAGTTAGTAAAATCCACAACAAATTAAATCAATGTCTTTTTGCCAAGTAAAGCCCAAAAGTAAACTTTCAGTTTTGTGCGCCAAAAAATCTGTCTTCCGGCCGAATTGCTTGCTTTTGCATAGAAACTGCAATTTTAATTATAAAAAGTGTTTAATTTTTTAACTGTATTTGTTGTTTTATGCTTTTCTGTGTCTTTAAATTTTTAATGAAGATATTTTGTGTTTTTATTATTTTTGCATTGCTACGAAGTGAGAACTGAATTTATTGAATGGGAAATACATATCTAATGAAATTCGAGGAAATAAGTGTTTCATATTAGCAGAAAATAATGTCGCCAATCTGTTTCGGTCAAAGGAGAATGTTTACAAGTAGCGCATGCACATTAGGTAAGCTCGTCTGTGAAAAACTTTCTAATTTCTTTCATATATCGCTTTAGATTATAGTATTTGAATAGAAAATGTGGCAATGATTAGATAATTCTTCAGATTATTTTTTTCATTAATAAAATGGATGAGATGTAATGCCGTTAAGTGAACCTAGCTCCAGAGTATAGCTATAGTAAATAAATATAGTGAATTTTATTAGATATTGTGCATTTATTCTATTGTGGTTTATGTGCTATCAACGAAGTAGATTTAATTCAATAAGTTTAAATGAAATGCATGAAAAAATGCATATAATTTAATATTCCGTAGAAGGAAGTTGTGGTGTACACATCATATTTTTCTTTTTGTATTTGAAAGTTGATAGCTATGATGAAATAAGCAAGAATAGTGACTAGCAAGATTTAAGTATCTAATAAGCAATTATGCAAAATTTAATAATGAAGCAATATTATAACTTAACTGTTCTTTTAAAAATCAGTTTCAATCAATTAAGTTATTAATTTAATTTGATGAAAGGGGAGAAAAATGGAGAATCATAATTTGTCATAGTTTTTAGAAATTAAACTACTATGTGATACACATACATTTAATGGATTCCAGGGTAAAGTAAAAATACAATATTAAAAATGCAATAATGTAACAAAAGTAGATCAGAAAGTTTGGTTGACAATGATATTTTTACAACATATGTAATGATTAAAAGTAAAACAATGGCTCCAAACTTTTGCATTCCCAAAATAAATCAAGAATCACTTCTCCAGATCTTTATGGTTTTATCATTTTCTAATGCAGCTGATGCTATGACATTTTCAGTTGGATGGCAGGCTGTGCACAAAACAACATCTGCAGAAAGAGGGAAAAAGTTCAATAAATATAAGTAAGATACAACTCTTAATTTGTAATACCCTTTAAAACTCTTCTGTAATTTGGTTATTTTCCTTTTCTTATCTACATATAATAAACTAACTGCTCACAGTATGTCTTTCTAATGCATGAATTCATAAAATTAATTCATATGTTCTGACAAAAAGTGAAAGTAAAATATTTTGTCAAATTATAACTTATTAACCAAATGTAATAAAGAGATATCATGTCCTTGAATATTCGAGCAAGTTTGCAATCTGTAATCTAATCCTGCTCTTGTATTTTGTGTAGGCTGTTATTTCTTAAAGCTATGAAACTATACTAATATTTATTCAATATGAGATGCAATTTTCTTTGCATTTCTTTACCGTTATGATAGATGCAATCGAAAAGTAACTTATCATTCAAGAAAAAGTCATCATCTCTATGCCAGTGTTTCTTAATTGTGTTCCATGAAACTTCTGTGTCCCCCCCCCATAATATTCAGAAGAGTAACTTGGAAGGGGGGAAAGCAATAAAACACCTGTACTAAATTTTAAAAATACAACTAGCCATTATTTAATCAAGATATTTGATGCAAATCTGACAATACAACATCATAGGTTGTGGTAGCAGTCAGAATAATTTTTGGTATTTTACAGCAGCCATACTGAGGAATCATTTGTAATCCTGCTGTTGGTGATTCCTTGGCTCATTTCTTTATTAAACTATGTCAAGACTGTCTTTCTATAAATCATTTGGAATTATCAATATAAACGCTTCAAAGTAAAACGTAAAAAATTACAATGGACTAAAAAATATGTTTAGTTAACACTCTGAGTGACATTACTGTCTCAGGTCACACATTTTTTGTTATTTGGTGCATGTAATTTAACCCACCCCATAAAAGAAACCCTTCTGAAAATGGCCCTATTTTGGTTGTGGTTCAGTGAAATCTCCTTCAAGGCCATCCTCTTTATGTTTCCGAAGTTTTTCACTGGAAATATGAAAGTTTTGTTTTGATCGGATTGTGTCTGTCAGACAAAGTGTGCCTATTCGCATTGCAGTAATGTAATTCATTTCTGGTAGCGCAAAAAGCTCCAAACGTGTCGTGTGATTTATCCTTATAAGGAAGAAATGTTACATTTGCAAAAATTATTAGAAGATGTACCAACTGTTGAAGACTTCATTGAAGAAACTGATGATGAAAGTTATAAAGAATTTTTTAGTTATCATGATACTGAATCAGAAATCAAGATGCATTCTGAAAACAAAAATGACAATGACATTTATTGCTTTATTGCAAAAGATAAAAAAAAACTAATGGCCAAAAGAAAAGCTGATGTTCCTGCTCAAAATATTACTAAATTGCCTGGAAACATTGGTAATGCAAAATATGTGCAGACTCCAAATGGAAACTAAGTGAACAAATGTTGCAGAAAGTCGTCAGTTATACAAATATTTATATTGCATTTATTTTTGACAGCTTTCAAAGAGAGAGAGAGAGGTACTTGTCACACAATTCTAATTTAAATTTGTGGTTTTATAGGTCTTTTATATTTTTCTGACATAAGTCGATCTCATAAATAGGAACTCGCGTCATCAAGAAAGAATCACATAAACTTGGACCTAAAACAGAGTATTTTGAAGACTTTGTGAATAACTGCCAGAAATATTACACTGTCGGTGAGTTCATAACAATTGATGAAAAACTTGAAGTTTTCCGAGGAAGATGTTCTTTCAGGCAGTATATTTTTTATAAAGCTGAATAATGATATAATAAATTCTATATTAATAATAGGTGCAGTGGCTAGCGCATCGCGCAGCAGCACCACAGGTCCGGGGTTCGAACCCCGGGCTGGGCAAGGTCGACTCATCCTTTCATCCCTTGGGTCAATAAAATGAGTACCAAGTTCGCTTGGGGACTAAACACAGGGAGTCTTGCAACCAAGCTGACCACTTGTTTAGGGCATGTGCTTACGCACCCCGGGGTCCACGGTCAAGAAAGCAGATTTCGGGGCACTGCATGGCTGTTTAGCTGCCACTGAGTTTTTTTATATTAATATATTTTTCCACTCCTTTAAAAAAATTATTTCATAAAAATATTTATAAAAATTAAAATTTAAACTGTTATAATTTGCATATTTTTAAAGTTTGATCATAAAATTTTGGCATAAATGTAACACTTTTACCTGAAGAGTAACAGTTTTTTTCTTCAAAAAACATGAGCCTGGTCTTCTTACTTTCATTAATGATGTAAATATGATTTAAATGAATGGAGCTAATGAAAACAAATTAAATGAAGCTGTTTAAATACAGTTCTTCATAAGGAGATCCCACTCCTAAAAGACAAGCCACTCGGAGGGTTAATTTAGTAGTGACATTTAAATTACGCTTTTTATTTCTGAAGTGCAATTGTATTTTTAGAGGGGTACAAAAATAGAATAATTACATTTCCAAAGAAAAGAGAAAATGAGAGCTCCCTATCAAGTAGAGACAGGGTTCGTAGCGGTCCTTACAAGTGCTTATAAGTCCTTATATTTGAAAATAAAATATAAAGGCCCTTATAGGTGCTTACGTTTTCTTTAAAGCCCCCCCCTTTTTTTTTAGTGCTTTTTTTTTTAAATCTTTTTTTTTTTTTTTAAATGAACGTGCATTTTTTTCCTGTACCAAAGCCGAAACTAAATAAACAACTTTTCTTCCTAATATGCAACGTCAGATGGTGAATCATACTCCCGGAAATTGCTTTTCCCCCCTTTCTCTGCATTACCGTAACCTATGGTGCGCGCGAGAGTACAGACAGGTGCATGTCGTTCTATTGGTCAAAGAATTGCGAAAATGGTAGAAAATTCTTTTACGTTTGGTATTCTTTTCCTCCCACCCAAATACTACACACGTTTGAATTTCTATCAAGATTTTAATAATTTGCATTCTCATTCCGCGTGTTTAGTTCATATTTGTGTTTATTATGATTGTTATGCTTATATTATGAGTATATGCATGAATATTTATAATAATATAGTTGCAGTAACTGCTGAAGTATAGATAAACTTCCAAAAATGGGTGTGTTTTTACACAGATTAGCTTTCTAGGGAATAATACTCAGAATGGCTTAAATAAAAGGAAAGTAATCGAATAGTCAAAATAATTTCTCTCTCTTTTTTTTTTCCCCAATACGTTATACAGTACGGAGGTGTTTGCGGAGAAAGTGGCTCCACTTTCCACTTTCTCTGCAAAATCTCTAATATTGAAACAGTGGATTCCCCCCCCACACACACACACACAAACTGTCCAATCTGGATTGAATAGGACTAAAAGTTTTTGCGGTCTACCCAACCTAAGCGAAGATTGATTCTATTCCGGAAATTTAACGCAGTCTGTTGAATCTTAGAATCAGAAACACCCCAAATTAGTAAGTCTCTTTCTTTTCCTTATTTAGTTCTTTATTCCCGAATACTGGCAGCTGTTGATTCCGATTGCGTAATATCACATGTGGAAGAATTATGCTGCACGTATTGCGCAATAGCGTTTGCGGTATTTTGCAGATATAATTAATTTTGATGTTCAGTCTGAGGTTTGTTTATGAACACTTAAAAGAATTTTTCTGTGCTTTCTAAGCAGAATATTTCTCAGTTCCGTTGGTATGTTTTTATATGATGCACATATCAAAATGTCAAAATCATTTATTTAGCCGAGAAATCTAAAGAACGGCTACTATCTCCCCCACTCCTCTTTTTCCAGTTACTATCCGGAATATTTGGCAATTTCCGAGTATGCGGGTTATTTAAGCTTTTACTGTTAAAGGAGACTGCATGAAGCAATTTCCCGTCTTCTGATTTCAGAAATGTGCCTCTTTTTTACTTAAATTACTTTGCTTGGAATATATGTTAAGGGAAAAAACTGTTATGCAATGAAAATTTAGAAATTGTTCAGAATTTTGATTTAAGTTAAATTATTTAAATATTAATATAAGTAGAAAAATAAATTGTATTTTTTATTAGGTGCCAAACGAATACAATTAATATGGCTTATTATTATTTATTTTCTATATTTTGAACTGAAATTTCATCATTAAATCTTGTAATATAGTTTAGTTCTGCAGTGTTTTTTTTTTTTTTTTCCTTCTCATTGTAAACTAATTCTGTAAATTGAACTGTCATTTAAAATTTTAAAAAAATAATTAATTGTTTTCCATGGTTGAAGTAATGCTCATTTTCTTAATAAATATTGCATTGCTTTAAATTACAAGTCTTAATTTTTCTTTTAAGGTTATGCAGTTGTGTATAATGTAATTAGACAGGTGCTTATTTTTTCCTTAAAATGTGCTTGAAAAGTGCTTATAGGTGCTTATTTTTTTAACTAAAATCTGGCTATGAACCCTGAGAGAGCAAAATTATATGTTGATAAAATTGTTTCACATTAATTTCAGGAACGATAGACTAGAATAACTATTCCTCTCTTTATAAGATGAAGGAATTATTATACGAACTCTTTATTAATGATCACAGATTCATTCTTTTTTCATCTTTCGTAAAGTTTTTATTTTCTTTGGTATTTTGAAAAAATTAATATTTTCCCTGATTTCCTATGAATTTTTTAAGCAAGCTGAAGCATGCTAGAAATATGCTTGTTTTAGTGTCATAGCTAAATAATCTAGCAATTTTATGCTTTCAAAATCAGACAGCTTTTACAAAGCTTTAAAAGTATTTACCTGTATGGCCTTCAAGTTTCTGAACAATTTCCTTAGTCTGCAAATTCCATATATAAACCATGTGATCTTCTGATCCAGATACAATCCACTAAAATTAAAATTATGAGCAAATATTGAGTTAAATCACATTCTTAAAGTATGAAAATGTATGTCAATACATAAAATATTTTAAACAACAGTGTGTAAAGCAGTTTAAAACCAACACAGTGTTCAAAATGGAAAAATTATAACATGAAAAAAAGCACACTATATACATAAATATGTAAAATAAATTTTAAACTTTTAATTTTCCATAATAGTTCCTAGAGTCTTCTTAAGTGTTTCTTCTTCTTTCCTTTCTTTTCTAATAATAAAACAAACTTCCTAAAATGCATCACCCCAAAAATAATCCCTGTCACATAAAATCAGCAAAAGAGAAAGCAAAGTTTTGTTGTTATTGTTGCTTATGCTCATTTATAGTCAGCCCAAGCCCACAAAATTCCTTAAGGCGAAATTTTTCATCCAATAAATAACCAAACCTGTTATGTACTGTTTACGAAGGTTTAGTACAGATTGGACTGAGAACAGCATTCTTATCTTTAAGGTAAACAGCGAGTTGGTTTTTCCTCCTCTAATGGCAGTCTTGCATCCCATCTCTACATTCGAAACTATTTGGATAGAAACATATTTCATAGGTAACTCTCAGAAAACTTCATAAAATGCATTTTAGTCCTATATTATGTCTTCGAATAGGGAGTGGGTCGCTGTAGGTTGAGAAAGGAGCAAAGTAATCATTGTTTGTGCCTGCAAACAGCAGCCAAGCTGTAAGAGATGAAATGTATGCTTTATACTGGCAAAAATGCGTGTTTTAAAAGTGCACCAATTTCAAAACCACTGGACCAGTTTGATTACAGTAAAGCACGCAAGAGCTTCCTGCCTGTGGGATGCCTTTATACAGGACTTTCTATGGAAAACTGGCTTGTATCCATGTTACATGTAAAGAAAACTACAAAACACTGTAAGAAGCTTAATTTACTGCATATGTAACTTGATACGTAAAAAAGACCTAAGTGGAAAAAAAAAAAAGAAAAAAAAATTTAAGCCTGAAAGAAAAGGATAAATTGCTTAAAGATTATGATGCTTTTGGTAAAAGCAGCCAATGAGAAGATGCATTTACAATGAATTTTGGGAATTCCCCCAAACAGCATTTTGCAAATTACCTAAACAAAGAACTGTAATTGATGGAAAACTAATATAAAAGGAAAATTTCTCAAGGAAGCACATGGGGAAAACCCCAAAACACTATACGAAGCTTTTTAATTTGCTGCATTTTAACATGTATAAAATTCCTAAACAAAAATATTTAAGCCTAAAAGTAAATTGTTAAACGATTATGACAATTTCGGTAAGTACAGCCAACGAGAAGTTGCATTTAATGAGCTGAGGAATTTCTCAAATAGCACTGTGATAATTACCTAAACAAAGAAGTATAATTAATGGAGAACTAATATAAAATGTTAACTTTCTTAACAAACCACAAAAGGGATGGAACATCAAAACAATTAAATTTTTAAAATGTCCCTATTTATAGAGCTCTTGACCACATATGCTGTGGGCTTTGCTAAAATCTTCGGAGATTATTTTGTACCATCTAATGTATGACTTATGGAAAGAGGAAAATAACATTATCAATTGGAAACTGCTAGGTGAACTGTTAGAAGCAGATTATCATGCAACTGGTAACTGAATAAAAGATTTTTTTTGCCTTGGCTGCTAAAGAAATGCAAGCCACCTGGAATACATAACTGCTCAAGTCTGTATGAAACACAGAGAGGAATGTTAGATAACTGTGCTGAAAACTTTTCTGATCTTGTTCTGAAAAACATTAAATTAGTGTTCACTCAGTCCTTAAACCAGGGTTATAAAAACTATCAAATGTCATTACGGAAGACATGTTGGTCAAGAAATGATACGAAAATGATCTTTTTGATGATAAACAAAACTAAATGAAGATTCCAAAGGAGATGACTAAGCTGATATCTTTGGCAAAGTTCATGAAATTACAGTCACTGCACTGGGGAATCTCTCAAAACAGGCTTAAAAACTTTCAAAAATCTGGCTTTTATTTAGAAGTCTAAAAAATGTTCTGGAAATCAATGTGGGAAGTAATAAAAATATATGGTTACAGCACAAACTGACAATTATAGAGACATCATGTAAAAAACTGACTATGACTTAAAAATTGTTAGAAGAGCTGACGAAATTGAATGAAAGTAATGATATGCCAAACTCATTCAAATATAAAAAAGTATAACAAATTCTAAGAAAAACCAAAAGTGAAAAGCAATGATCAGAATTGTAAGCAATTTACAAACTTCACAATACAAATGAAACATTTTTTGATGAAACAAACACAGATTACTGCTTTGTAAACTTACATTCAAAATTATAAAATAATTTTCATAAAAAAAAATTCAAAACTGCAAAAATTGTATACTTTTAGCACTGCTTTTTAATTATCATTTTAAGTAATTATTAGATTAATGACTAGTTATTACAATACTGGATAAGTATAAAATCTGCATTACATTTTAAAATACACTACCCTCTATCTATTAAATTCAGCCACTTAATATGCTGAAATATGTTTGGAATGGAAGTGATTTAAACAAGGAATGGGTTCAGTATATATAGAAATCATTTTTATTCTTGTATTTTGGCACTCGTAAACTATACAGCTTGTTTTTTTGTTTCTCTCTATAGTTCAAGACATGATTTTTTTAATAAAATATATCGATTTTTAAGAAAAAATTTTCCGCCACTGCAAATATCATCTGCACAAACAGTTTGCGTTGACGTGTTCAATCATATTTTGTCAAATGATTTTTGGCATCTGAAAGAAAAAAACTTGCTTTAGAACCCTGTGTTGTGAAATTTGTAAAAAAAAAAAAACATTGTTATCATTAAGTATAAGGTGTCTGAAATGCTACCAGACAAGAACCAGAAACTTCCAGTTCTGCTGTAAAATGTCAGCTACACAAGGTTACCAAATCATATGTGTAGCTTTAAGTACTAATGTTCTATCATATGACACTGTGAAGGTTTGGTACCAAAAGTTCAAAAACAAGTACTATGACATTCAAGAAGCACAGTGCTCTGGCTGGCCTATTGATGGCGATGAAGGCCGCCTGCAAGAACTTGTGGTAGAAGATCAGTAGGCAACCACTCAAGAACTTGCTAAGGAGCTAGATGTTAGTACCATGTCTGCTAGTCGTGCTATGCGTTGCATAAACTTGAGGTACACGTTCAATCGCTGGGTGCCACATGAGCTGACTTGAGCAGATAAGGATAGACGTGTTCAGGCCTGAACTAATCTGCGGAATATCAACGCAAGGATAAAATTCTGGACCAGATTCGTTACTTGTGATGAAAAGCAGATTTACTTCAACAACACAGGTCAAAAAAAGGAGTTGGTCTGCACCTGGCGAGCCCGTCGGCAGTGTTGCGAAGTGCAATTTGACTAACAAAAAGATCATACTTCGTATCTAGTGGGATCGCTTTGGTATTATCTACAAATCATATCTAGAAAACCTCTACAATAAGGTATACAACAGGATGCTAGTCCATGTTGAACTGAGTTCTGGTACAAAAAGTTAATGTTCCATCAACATAATGCAAGATCACATGTGTCTGCAGTCACCGAGTCGAAAGGGACCTTTTGCCACTACCCCCATATGACCCCGACATCGCTCGAATTTTTTTCGAACCTGCAACTACATCTTGCAGGTGCTATCTTCCATTCTGTACAGGATGTCCTAAATGAGGCTAATATGTTTTTGGACTTCCACCCACTAAGTTTGTGAGCTGAAGGCTTCAAAAAACTACCAAAACATTGGCAGAAAATTTTAGATTTGGGTGGTGGTTATTACCCACACTAAAGATACTGTTTTCAAAGATTCCCCCCCCCAAGAACATTTTTCGACAGAAAACTTTCATTACAACCAGATATATTTTACATTTACAGACTTTATATATATTTTGAATACCCAAACAGTGAAACTTTTCTGACTGACCACCTATAGAAGTGACTACTACTTTAAGATCACAGTTACTTAATAACAGTATTAAAACTATCATCTAAGGCAATTTCCTCCACAGAAAATTAAAACTATTGAGAATTTCAAACATTTTAGGGAGATTTCATTTACTAAACTGTATATATTTTAATCAATGATTAATTAAATTTTTACTTGCACACTGAGAAATAATAATCCTAATTTATTTCCCATGTCTCTGGTTTTTTAAAACAAATTTAATTTAGCTTAATAGTTGTATTTTGAATAGTTTAAAAATAAGTACACCATTATGTACAATCTGGGTTATATATTATTAAAAATCAAGGTATTTTCAAAATTTACTCATTTCCCCTTTACTATATGAGCCAAATTTTAGTTATATACCTAATATGAAAGTGAATCTCTCTTTTTCTACAATTTTCTAGCTTTTACATTATTACAATTAACCTGAAAAGGACATGATCCATTCAAGAGATTAAAAATTTTAATTAATCAAAACGTTTCGATTTTCATGCACTCTGAACTTAATTACTTGTATTTTCTAAATCAGTGACAAACATTTAAACTGGGGGATTTAAATGTAACTTATTATGAAACAGCCAGACATATACAGTTTTTTAGAATTTAGTATTGAAAATACAGATATTAACGATTGATTGTAACCTTCTTCAAATGTCAGTGATCACACCTTTACAATTTATGATGCAATTTAACTCTGAAAACAATCTGACATGTCGCCTTCAATCTTTACAAAATTTCTTACGGTAATATGAAATCCTTGCTATGCTGGCAGCTCACAAGTAAATCAGACCAAATATTACAAATATGTTTAAGTGTGTGAAGCAATTTCCAGCAATTTGAAAATAAAACTGAATAATTTAACAGAAATGAGCTTGCCATAAACAATAGATGACAGAAAGAACGTGGCCCTCGGATCACTGTTTGGCTATCATTGCTCTAAATTATAACCATATTCGATGTAATTGCTTACATTATTACTTCTGCTATCTCAAAAAGATTGTTAAAATCAGAATTCTATAATTCAGCAATTTATGACATTATCAAGAAGTATATAAATATAGTTTTATTAAACTAGAGGCAGATGGGAAATTATAAATTTTAACACGTTGCTGCTATGCGCATTTTATGTGGTTTGCTCATGGCACCAATATGAATATTTTATTATGCAATGTCTATTATGTTGAAATATTATCTACAAAAGATAAGGTGAGTATAATCATGTTTAATCATTTTTCATTGTGCAGGTCACCAGTGACCCTCAAAGCACTGTAGATCATTTTTGCAATTTATTATTTAAATTTTCGCGATTTATTATACTTCAAACTCAATAGTATTATTTAAAAATTTATCAGTATCAATATTTACTCTATGTATTTTTACTATTGGTCGCGTCACCAGTCAATGGTGCCCCCCCCCAACAGTACTGTATCGAAGTCGAGTTCCGGTGACCCTCATGGCAGACAACGTGTTAAAAATCAACATAATCTAAGGCACACTGGACCACTAGGTACCTAACTGGAAATAGTTCAGCATTTATAAATGCATATTTAAATTTAAAAAAAATCTTAGTTAAGATTGTCATTTGTAATCCAAATAACAGAAGCTATACTTACTTTTCCACCAGTTACAGAAAAGTTAGCAAAGATGCAATATTTCTCATTTTTATGCCCTTGATATGTCTTCAAACACTGAAAGAAAATAAATCCATTAATCATAAAAACATTTTTATGCACATCAAAAATTTACATTTAAACTATCAAAAACTGAGTTTAAAAATTCATATGAAATGCAAATATATGACAAAACTAGAGAAAATTTAAAAGCTTTTTGAGTTAGTAACTTCAAGCAGTTTAAAGCCCTTATTTATACACATATTAACCTTTAACCAATTTTCAAGGAATTTGAATTAAAAAGTGATTTAAGTTGCAATCAAGTTCATTTGACAGCTTCATATATAAGTCACAACAAATAATAGTGTTACAAAAGTGAGTGATTTGGATTTCTGAATTCAGCAACTCATCAGTGTCAACGATTTTTGTTAGTCTAGAAGGTTTTTAAGTAACCAATGCATAATAATTATTGATTTAGAACAGATAAGGGATCCCTTTTTCCTCATTGGATAGTTGAAGTAATTGTTCTTGAATGTTGTATTTATATAACAAATACAAATTCGACTTACAAAACCACATAATAAAACAAACACAGTTAAACTTTGGAAACTCAAAACTTAGGATGATCTGGGGGGAGGAGAAATATATAAAATAATTCTTGATTCTCTGAATATCTTTGAATACAAAAAGTCTTGTTAACAAGAAGGACTGTCTGACTTACTCTAATCTTATTTTTGGGTACCTCTTTTGTTACAGATTCAACATCAATCATCTAAGCCTTAAACCAGCAGATAACATAAAAAATTTAAAACCATTTTATATAATCTCATATGATTCAGAAATTCTTTTATAATGTAGGCTCCGATACAAAAATTTTTATTCTGCAATTAATCAAATTGGTAAGCACAGCATGGATATCTGTAAAGTTGACTCAGAACTACCTCAAAAATGCTGCTTTTGTAATTAATGAAATCATCACAAAAAATGCTGCAAAGGAATAGCTGATTTATCTTCCAGATGCTGATACTACTTAATGTCAGTACAAGCAGTGTAGAAATTTTGTGAAAGTGGTAACAGTGTGCCAAGTCCATATAGTTAAGAGAACAAACAAATGTTTAGAAAGAGTGTATTACAATTAGCTAATATTGATATGAGATATGTGTATAATATGTGAGCTAAGGCAATATGCTCGATAGTCCAATAACCATCAAGATCTGAGATTAATTTAACAATAAAAACAATACATTGGCATTAGCAAGGAATACAGAAATTCCATGATACCATATCAAAATTTAAACAGTACAGCATACATTTTTCCCCAAGTGGGGTATTTTTAATAATAATTATTTGTAATAATATCACTAATATGATTAAATTAACTTATCCATAATTAATAATATAATTTGTAACATATTACTGTTTCATTTTTGGGGGGACTTACAATTTCTACATATCAACAGAAACTTGTTAACTTGATATTTCTTTAGCATTCTCTGAGGTATCAAGCTACCATTAGTTGTACATACAAGAATTCCTCCTTCCCAACTACAAAAATTAATTTTCAAACAATAAAAGTATAGCATACTTTCATTAGAGCAAAATGCATGTAGCAAATTATGAGGAGCAAACACATTGATAGGAATTACTTGATATTACACAATTTAACTTACTTTTCCTTTACTATAGTCCCATAGTTTCAGAGTGCTAAAAGAAAACAAAATTGTGTAAAAAAAGAGAGAAATACACATATATAATCAGAACTTAGATGTTAATAAATGATTATTCAAAATTGGATAACACGGGAAGCCCTTCCCAAATTCAGGAGTTATGTCATTAACACACTGTGTATAGCAGAATCGTGTTTCACAAAGTTAGCTTTCTATGGGAAAAAAACGGTTTAGATTAAGATAGCATGATTATTTATACAAACCTAATTACTGTGAGAGTTGTTAAACCTAATTATTAAATGGGGAAAATTAAACAAATGTTAACTGAAAAGTTTTCTATTACTGCTCAACAAGTAGATACATGATATAATTATTTTCGACTCATATTATAATAATTCCATAATAAGCTACATAGCTACATATGCCATTAATAATCACTAGCTACTTAAACTGGCGATTTTTGCATGGGACAATGTCTGATGCAACTCAAAATGTTTCGCAGTAAGGAGTGCAAAATTTTCATAAAGTGTCGTCTTTCTTCATTTGGGTCAATTTAAATTGTAAAATCAGGTGTTCCTGCACCTTTTTTAAAAATTCATATAACTTCTTGAACCATTGGCTTTCTATCTTCTTCATCATCACTGCTTTCACCATCGGGCTGGTGTTATAAGATCATCCAGTTTTTCATTTGTCTCTAACAATTCTTTGATTTCTCCTTCTTTCATATCTGAAAATCCTTTGTCACCTATCGCTTTTGCAATCTGTATGATTTTCTTCACTCCATTTTCAATCGATGGAAATCTTTTAATATTGATAATAACTTCTGACCAATGAACATTCATTGTTGATGAAGTCAATCGTTCCCTTACAAGTTTAATCATTTCTTATGTAGCATCTTATGTTGAATTGCTTGCAAAATGCCATTAGTGCTTTCTTTCATTTAATATTTTATTTGCACATATGTAAGCATGTCCAACATAATAGACTTTGAATGTTTTTAAGATTCCTTGATCCATTGAGTGGATTAAAAATTCATGTTTATTACGTTTAATTTGTTCATGGCATTCGATGGAAGGAATAGAATGTCTATATTTGGATTGAATGATTTGATCCAATGATATGATGTACTGGAACATCACTGAGATTTAGGAGAACTTTAATGCTCAGGTTTTGCTGTTCTGAGTAATGTTTGACGTCTTTAATGAATGAATTTTCAAACCAATCATTAACGAGGACTATTGTTATGCATCCAATACTCTGCAGTGTACTGCATATAACTGAAATTTTTGTAATGGAGACAATTAAGCTAATAGATATACGAAAATCACACACTGCAAGTCCACATTCAGTAAGGGGTTATTGTACATAGTGTTATGCCCTATAATTTACAGTACAGAATTCTCTGCGCCTCCAAACATAATGTAAATACAAGCTTAGTTTCTCTTGTAAACATTTCCACTGAGGTATGCTTTTCTTTAAGTAGACAGCCCGTATGTGCTTTGTACCCATGTGTACTCAATCAAAAATCAAACTTTAGCTAATGAAATCTATTTAAACTGCTAATTACAGTCAAAAGTCGTTAATCCGGACTCGTCGGGACTTCGGCGATTCCGGATTATAGATCATCAGTTTAAATCTGGTAAGATGGCATGCCGAAACTATAAAATTAAAAATGTGAAACTGTAATTTATGAAATAAAGAACAATTATGATCTAAAGGGTATCAAAATTTACAAAAAAAAAAGCTTAATATTTATTTGTTTACTTTATTTAACATTTATTTCAATGTAAGTTGTTTAAGTTGCTTCATTTTATGTGATAATACTTTATCTTTAATTCTATAAACAGACATAATTTCTTGTTTAGTTACAAAGTTCCGCTGTTCAAGTCCTATAATTGCTCTGTTGAGAATACCGACTAATTTGTCAATCAAAATTTTTTCGTTTTCAATAACCTCCGTGTCACTTTCTTCACTATCGGAAGCGAATCATAATGATGAGGAATTTGATTTAAATCATATCAAAGACGGAGTACATCGAGATGAAATACTACATTTAGTAAAGAATTATAAGCCCAATAAAATAAAAACATCTGCCCTGAAGATAAGGATAGTGGTGACAGATCAACTTCCAATTCATTGCGCCGCAGCGGCATTACCCCCCCCCCCTGCCGCAGAGCAGCGGGAAATTGATAAACAGATTCCGGAATGGTTAGAGAAACAAAGGATATGATGCCTTTATCCATTTTTTGCAGCAATTCCACTTTTTGTTTGATGGACATCGGAACATGCTTTCGCTTTGTAGATCCTTTCGTAGCTCCAGAATTGGAAATTCTTTTTGACATAATCGAAAATTCAAGCTTACTTTTATTAAAATTTCTCTAAACAGTCTGCAAAAAATAATAAGCCGGATCCAATTAGAAGATTAAGGAACAACACAATCTGCGACATTAACTAAAATAGATAATTAGATAATTTTAGCTTATACCGTCCGTTACACAATAAATGTGCACACGTAAATGTATTATGCGCACACGCATATGCGCAGCCGTAAAAGTCTTACGCGCTTGCGTAAACGCCTATGCGCATGCGTCAACATGATGCATGCGCAGAAAGTTTGTAGCTTTTAGGTCCGGATTATAGATCATTCCGGATTATGGGCGTCTGAATTAACGACTTTTGACTGTATTTAAATAATATCAAAAATCAATAGTATAAAAATATAATGCCATGTACAGTGGATGGACAAAAATATGGAAACACCTTGTGAAATGCATGTTTGAAAAGAAAGATTGATTTTAATGAAATATGTAGGTGGTGCTGGCATTTTCGACTACTAACACCACCTATACAACTTCGTAAATGTGCTAAACAGTTCAGTTGTTGTCGGAGTACTGTTATGTGAGGTTGTCATTGCATTATGTCAGAGTTAACAGACTTCAAATGTGGGCAAATTGTTGGAGCACGTATGGTAGGTGCTTCCGTAAGCAAGGTAGCCGAGGGTTTAGTGTTTCAAGAGGTACTGTATCGAAGATTTATTCCCCGCATATTTGAAAAGCGGAAAAACATCATCTGCTAAATCACAGCGCGGACGAAAGTGTGTCCTGAGTGATCATGACAGACGATCATTAAGGGCAAATTGTGACGAAAAAATAAAAAAATAAGAAGACCATAGCTGCAAAAGTTACTGCTGAAATGAATGTGTGTGTTTACCGAACCCTATGAGTACCAAAATAATTAGAATGGAGCTTCATAAACAGGGAATTGCTGGCCGTGCTGCAATTGAGAAGCCACTCATCAGTGATGCTAATGCCCGTAACAGGAAAAGGAAAAGGTGGGTGTGTTTAGTTTAAGTCATAAAGCCTGGACTATAGAGCAGTGGAGCGAGTAATTGAGTAAGCGAGTAATATGGCCTGACGAGTCTTCTTTCACACTGTTTCCCACTTCTGGCCGAGTTTTACGTCTGGAGAACGCCATCTCAAGCCTATAATACAGACTGCTTGTTGCCAAGAGTGAAACGTGGCCGTGGTTAGTGGCGGGCGTTCGGTTATGGTTTGGGCAGCCATATCGTGGTTCTCTGCTAGCCCCATGATAACTGTGTCAGGGCACATGACTGCCAAGACTTATGTGAACATTTTGGCCGATCAAGTTCATCCCATGGTACAAACTTTGTTCCCCGATGGTGATGGTGTCTTCCAAGACGACATTCACACAGCTCACAATGTCCAGGACTGGTTTTCTGAGCATGAGGATGAGTTGTCCCATCTCCCCTGGCCACCACAGTCACCAGACCTGAATATTATCGAACCTTTGTGGTCTACATTGGAACGGAAAGTGCCTTCTCGTTATCCACCGCCAACATCGTTATCTGAACTTGCCACTGTTTTGCAGGAAGATTGGTATAATATTCCCTTGGCAAACATACAGGAATGTATTTATCCATTCCGAGAAGACTGCAAGCCGTTTTGGATGCCAACGGGTTTCCTACACCATATTAAGCAAAGATGTTTTTTTAAAGGTGTTTCCATATTTTTGTCCAACCCCTGTATCTATGAGGCATATTCGGAAACTAAGTACCGTTTCGAAAAAAAAAAATAGCAAAACAATTTTTTCGAATCCAATTTTATTTTTACATAAAAATACATGTCTTAAACTATTTTTCAACATAGTTTCCGCCAATGATCAAACACTTGTCATAGCGGGTGACCAGTTTTTGTATACCATTGTCATAGAAACTTCCCACCAGTTTCGATAACCACGACTCCACAGCATTTTTCGTGTCATCGTCAGATGCAAAGCGCTTGCCACCAAGCTCACGCTTCATGTCGGACGGCGCCAAGTCCGAGCTGTACGGCGGGTGATCGAACTGCTCCCAATGAAACTGTCGAATTAACGATTGAGTGACACCAGCAGTATGGGGACAAGCATTGTCATGGAGCAACACAATTCCTTTACTGAGCATTCCTCTTAGTTTGTTTTGAATGGCACGCCTTAGTTTTGTTAAAGTCTCACAATATCGTGCTGCATTAATGGTTTCACCTCTGGGAAGAAATTCAGTAAGCAAAATGCCTTTCCTATCCCAGAAGACTGTGCACATGATTTTTTGTGATGACATTGTCACTTTGAACTTTTGTTTTTTTGGAGAATGAGGTTTCCACTCCATCGATTGTTGTTTCGATTCTGGTGTGAAATGACACACCCAAGTTTCATCACCTGTCACAATTTGGTTTAAAAAGTTTTCTCCCTCATCACTGTACTGTGTGAGAAATGTCAGGGCACTACCAAGTCGCTTTGTTTTGTGAACATCAGTGAGCATTTTTGGAACCCATCGGAAACACAGTTCGCGATAATTCAAGCGGTCAGACACAATTTCGAACAAAACAGTATGTGAAATTTGTGGAAATGCCTCTGAAAGAGTTGTCATTGTGAAGCGTCTGTTCTCATGAATTGCTTCATCAACTTTCCTAACCAAATCATCGGTGACAACAGAAGGCCGACCACTCCGAGCCTCGGTGTGGACATTTGTTCGACCTGCATTAAACATTCTTACCCACTTTCTCACCATTCCATCACTTATCGCGTATTCACCGTAAACTTCTGTCACTTGATGATAAATTTCGGCCGGTTTAACATTCTTCGCGTTCAAAAATTTAATCACGGCACGAATCTCACAGTCAGCGGGAGAACTAATTGTCTTAAACATTTTGAATGTGCACAGCAAACTGAAAACACAACATAAACATAGAGCAACCAAAATGGCGACAATTGAAAGTCAGTGAACAAGAAAGACTAGTGCACATGCGCGGGACGCCTACCACAGCGCTGCGACGGCACTAGAATGAATATTCCAATACTTACCGCACATAAATGAAACCATGGATAATATCAAATGCTATATAAGAACAGGATATTTTAATGACATACATTATTACAGTTAAATTTAAATAACAAATAATGAAGAATAAGACATCATCAACATTCAAACCAATTTGTGTGCAATATTACATTATATATAACTGTATAACTAAATAGAGTGTTACAACATATGTTGTATAATAGAAGCTGTTCTGATATTTTAACCTAGTCTACATTGGATGAACAAAAAAAAAAAAAAAAAAAAAAAAAAAAAAAAAAAAAAAAAAAGAAATGCAGTTATTTTACTATACAATAGAACATACTGCTTCAAAGAATGGTGGTAAAAATAACAATCATTTTCCCAGAACTAGTTCATTAATAGTTTACAGGAACTAGTAAGCAGTAGTATTCCAAAGGTTTTCAGGTTATTTAGATAGAAGTTAAGAACTTTAAGATAACATGGCACTAATGAAATTACAACAAATGCTGAAAACAAATTTAAAAGATATGGGCACAGAAAAATAGCCAAGATTCTCTACCGACATACTTAATGAATACTAAGTTAAATTGTGAGCACAAAGTTTGAGGAGTTTCCTGTAACCAAGGAATACACACAAGCTTCTACAATGAATATTTCTATTCAAAGTGTTTAGTTACACTGGTTCAAAACTAATGTGGAGATGGAGGGATAAAAAGGACTAGGCATGCTATATTTCAACTATGTTATACAGGCTGTCACTTCACATGCATTTTGAAACTTTCAACTTCCAAAGCTTATACTCCCCTCCCTCTGCAGCTCTGAAACACATGTAAGTGAAACCATTTATAAAAAAATCAATGGATACTGGGAGGCGAATATTTAAATTATAATTAAGAATTATGTATTTTATTTCTTAAAATATTTAAAAACTGAATTTGAAAATGTTTTTATCATAACTAACAATTTTTACACCGTTTTCTGAATAATCTACAATATTTTTAAAAAATGCTTAAAAAGTAATAAGAAGACTAATGCTGACATGTTTATGAACATGAAGATTCTATGTTTCTCAGCACATCTCGACTACTAAGTGCCTTGAAAATTCTACATCACTGATGCAGTTCCAAATGTCATTAAACCTAATTACTACTATTAGTTTAATAAAAACAAAATTAAGTACTTTATATCATTACAAGCAAAGCTAACTGGTACACATTTGATTCTCCAATAATCACCTCACATTAGTTATAATTTTACACACAAATAATATAAAATACCCCTATAACAAAATATATATATATATATGTAGGTTGGGGCAAAAGTCATGGCAACTGTTTTTTTTTTCTTGAAGATACCAGTCCGGTTGAAAAATGTGACATATACAGACAAATAGACAAAGTCTTAACTACATTAGTGGACAATGAATAGCACTGAAATATCGCAACACACGAATTTATTACGGTAGTATACACGGCAATATAGCCTTCACCATGCAAAAGAATAACACAATACATATAAAGTTTACATGACAAACCTCGGCCTAAAGATCATCAATGTAGTCCCCTGCTACTCTCACCACACACTGCCAACGATGTGGGAGGTGCTGAATACCATCAGCCGCAGCATTTGCCGCACCATGTGTGAATCGGGTCATCTGCACAGCATTAGCAATGCCCTCTCGTGTTGCAAACCGCCTACCACGTATTGGTTCCTTAATCTTGGGAATGAGATCAAAGTCACAGGGCGAAAGGTCAGGAAGTACGATGGGTGCTCCAATTCTTACCAACCATCACCAACGTCAGAGTAGCTGCTGTACACACTCTGCTTTATGTGGTCTTGGATTGTCGTGCAGAATTATTGCACTGTCCACAAGATCCAGAAATTTATCCCGAATGCCATGTTGTACCTGTCGCACCAGGAAGTCACTGTAGTACTGTGCGGTCACTGTTCTGCCATGAGGAACAAAGTGGCAAACAATGACACCCCTGACGTCATATGCGACGATCACCATCAATTTCACTGGGGAAAGATTCTGATGCTAGCTCAATACACAGTATCCTGTGGACGGTGCGTTTCTCGATGCCACTCACCCTCTCTAACTCCAGTAATGTCCATCGTCTGTCTTCGTCCATGAGGTGCTCGATGACGGCACGTGCCAAGTCGGTCCGCACACTCACCGGTCGTCCAGAATGTTGCTCATCACTGGTTGACACACGACTTGCTGAAACTTTCCTACCCACCGTGCTACTGTACGATATGGTAGAGAATTATTCCCAAGGGCTTCTATTAATTCACTGTGACATTCCGTCGCATTTCTCCCTCGGAGAATGGCTATTTTGATGTAAGCGCGCTGTTCAACACGGGTTACTTTCATCTCGCACGGCACTCACCAACTGACTGATTTCAGAGCCCTTGCTACCACAGAGCCAGCTATCACAGAGCCATCTGTTGTTCTGCATACACACTATGCCTGCAGAACTTCCACACGACACATATGCGTTTTGTGATCTGTTCACATATCTACAAGAAAAAAATAGTTGGCATAACTTTTGCCCAACCCTTGTATATATCTCTGAAAGAAATTAATGAGTTAGAACTTACTTGTCCAGTGTTGCTGCCAATATATACTTTCCATTAGGAGAAAATTTCACAAATGAAACAGGCGGGTTATCATCATCTAAGCATGTAAAAACGAAGCAGATTAGATAACATTTTGAAAGCATAAGAAGAAATCTGAGATACAATAAAAAATACTGGCTACCCAAAACTTACATCACACCGAGGAAAAACACAACAGCAAATGTGATTTAGCATCAACAAATTTAACATTTTGAGAATTTCAATTAGAAGTTAGAATTCTAGTAATGTTAAATTTGTTAAATTAAAAATATAGAATAATCAAAAACACTAAGAATTCATGTAGCATACAACACGATGACACTTTATCATTTACCTAATTTGTACTCGAAGCCAGAACCTATAAAAGGCATACCTTACAGTATTATGGATTTGAATAACAAATTCATTCTTTTTTACAAAATAATTTTTACACATACATAGATCACCAAATGAAGGAATATTTAATAAATACTTTTCTTTGAAAAATGTATTTTTGTTTTTTACTTTTTCTAAAATTCCAGGGCACAATAGTGGAATCTTTTTAATCTTTCCATTAATTTTGAAATTTTTATTGTAAAACTTTTTTATAAGCTGCATTTTACTTTTAACTCTGGATTTCAACACTTTTTTTTTCGCTGCTACATGGCATTTTTCTATTATGGATTTACTTATTGGCCATTTTCTTCCTCAAATCTTAATTGAAAATTAAATTTAATTTTTGGAAATGTATGTTACCCTTTATTATTTTATTTCCAATTTTGCAAAGCTTAGCACTACACTTTCTATAATTTTGGTTTTTTTTTATTGCCTCACTCTTCTACAATCCTAACTCTTTGGTATTCCACATTGCAATTTTTAAATTAAAAATCCTCTTGTCCTACAATTATAATTTACAGTTTTTCTCCTATTATTTAACTTTTTTGGGGGTGGGGCATTGTATACATTTATTTAGAAGAAATTTTCTAAAAGTTTTATTCCTTCAATTTGGAAACTTTTCTGAATTATTATTAAAAAAATATTTTTTATTTTACCCTCAGCAAATTTCTTTTACTAAATTACATTTCGTCAAAAAATTTTTGTTTTGAAATATTTTACTTTCGATTTACAAAGCTTTTTAGAAATTCTCTTCTTTCTTTTATTCGAAATTTATTTACTATTTATTTAGCACATTACTTTTAATTTACACACTGACTATTCTGGTTTCTTATTCGAGAATTCTTCTTATATTTATTTATTTTTATAATAATTTTTGTTTTAGGGCCACATCAGAGCATACCAAATTTTTACTTTGTTGCACATTTAAAGGATTTTCATTAATAAATTACCTTTTATTTTGTACTTTCTTTTAATTTTTTAATTTTCAATTATTTCAAGAATTTACAACCATCTAAATATGATTCAGAAACACAACTCTATTGTAAATTTTTTGGCTGCTCGTTGAAAAAGACCAATGAATTTTCAACAATTTTATGTTAATAATTTTTTAATTAATTTTTATTATGTGTACTTTTTGTTATATTGTTAACCCTTTTCTTGATTTAATTATCATCTCTTTATTATATACATAAAGATAGGACAAATCTCTTTTCTAACACATAAAAAAGTTAGGTATACACTACACATTATTCCAGGCTACAGCAATAAGGTTCTTTTGCCTTTATATCATTTGTATAACTGCTCACAGAAAAACAAGAGTAATATATATTTTGTTTAAATTTTATTCTCCCCCCCCCCACACACTCCTAAGAGTATTTCTTTTCCAATTTCACCCACTTTGAACATATTTTCAACATGTTTCAATATTTGATGTGATTTTATCTCCAAAATTAATTTTTTAGCTTTTGATTTTTGATAACAGATGTGCATTCTTGTTTCACTTCAGGCAGTAATATGATTATTATTAAGTTCAATTTTCAATGATACTAATAAGAATTAAAAACACATGTCACTTTTAGAAGTGTCATATTAAGATGATGATTATTATAAGATATACATGTACTTGTATTTTCTGGTGGCTTTCGTTTCATATAATCATACATTATTTTTAGTTATGCATAAATAACAATTTCGTTTACAGTTATTAACTCAGCAAAATTCTAAATATGAATGTTAAAGAAAATGTTTGATAAATTGTTATATTTACTTTCATTTGTTTAAAAGCTAACTTTATATTTTTTCATGATTACACTCTACTGATATACTTTTACCATATAATTAATTCAATTTCTTTTCCTTAGAATGGTAGAATATACTAAACATAGTTTTATTCACAAATTTTAAAAAAAAAAAAAAAAAAAAAAAAAAGTTTTATTTTTCAAAAGACCCTCTAAATAATTTCTTTCTGATATCTTTAAGTATTTGTTAAAATGATAAAAAAAATTTATATTTTTTTTAAATAAAAGCAATATAATTAAAATTCAAGATTAATAGCTTTAAAATTCTGGTAATATCATCAACTCCCAAATGCCAAGAATTAATGTACATTGGAAATTCACCAAGTGAAATTATTTTTGGCATCAAGTTGAAAACTAACGACAAATTTCAAACACAAATAAACATGAAATTACTAGTGTGACTCTTCCGAAATTTTAAACCTAGATATAGTTTGGGCCATACAAGGAATTTATGGAATGAACTGGCTTGCCATTTTAAAATTTCAATTTTGAGACAAATAACATATGTTAGAACAATGCTATATATAAACCTATTACATAACCTATGTCATGCCAGCTGAGCAGTAATGTCTCTGAACACTGTTAGTTCGGTCTGAGATTCGAATCCCACGAACGAGCTGGCTGCATGGGAGTTTTTGTGGTTTTCCCCATGTGTAACATGTAGATGAGCCAATTTCCCTTAGAAAGTCCTCTGCAAAGGCATCTTTTCCCTTTGGTAGATAGCCTTTAAGCACTTTGCTGTAGTCAAATAAATCAAACCACACCTTTGAATGCATAAAATATAAATTGTTTTTTCCCTTAACTTTCTAAGAAAGATAAAATCAAAAAGCATCTTAATTTGACAGAGTCGGCATGCTAAAGTAAAAGAAATGCTGAATGGACGTTTCAAAGTGCACCATTCTAAAAGATAACAAGAAAGACATGTTCTGTCGCCAGATGCATTTTCTCAGGAATATTGCAACAGACATTTACAATTTCAATAATGAACAGTGGTGAACAGACATCTCATTTTTAAATGCTTTCACCAAAGTCCACTCATATATCAGTAACAACATGCTCTTATATATAGCTGCAATATCATGAAGTAACAATTCAATCAGTGATAGATGAAGTTATTAAAGAAACCCTCTCACTTGGTGAACTATAACTGTTGGATGGTTGATAAATTAAACGAAACAAAATTATTTATGATCACATTTTTTATGGTGAACAAAGAAAGACTGATTTAAATATCCAGTTTTATTGACAAAAATGTCAAATGGTTGAGCTTCGGTGTGAAAATGGGTACGAAAAGAATTTTTGCAATATCAAATCTTGGAAATTTTGATTTAGATGAAAAGAAATTCAGTACCATACTGAAATATCTAAAATCAAGATATATTTAGAATTCCAAATATAAATACTCACCAATCAAAGTTTTTAAACACTGCCCAGAAGCTGTGTCCCATATTCTGCTATAAATAAGAAGAAAAAAAAAAAAAAAAAGCTGTATTTTTTGCAGTATTTATAGAAAGAAAGATAAAAGGTATTTATAGGTTATTTGGAACCAGGAGATTTGATAGCACCTATATTAGTGATAACTTGTCAAAAAATATATACCTTGAAACCATGCTCTTAACCTTTGTTTTGTTGCATTTGAAGAATAGCTGGTGAAAATATACTCACTGCTTGGCGATTTCTTACAAATCACCAGTTTGGCCCGTTTCAATTTGGCACCATTTTTTTCCTTTACATATGATTGAATTATGTTGTTCTTATCTTCCAGTTAAAGATTTTATGCCTTTAGTTAATCTTCATGTTATAGTTGTAGAATTATCCACAATTTAAAAGTTGTTTAAGTGCAGCTAACCCTAATTTTTTTCATCATAGCAGCCACATTTGTTTACATTTGAAACTTAGTAGAATAGTGGGTTTGTTGCCAATCTAGAGAAACAAAGCTTCGCAACAACAAAGTAACGTCTTCTTTCACTATTGCGAATTAATTCATGCTTAATCCATTCTGGAATTATCGCTTAAGTTATTAAATTATCTTACATATTCACTCCGCATAGCATCCAACAGAAATTAAGTCAGTTTCTCCGCCTTCAGTGTCTTTTTGCCGAGCGAGACCAAAAGTAAGGTAAACAAAATGGCATCAAACAAAAAACAAATATTTTTTTATAAAAGGCACAATTTTTTAAAGAAAAGACGGTAAAAGCTCAGAATACACTGCATAAAGAAAGTTGCAAAGGCGGAGCTAAGCGGCGTCCATAAATGGGTGAGACTAAGCTTCTGAAGTCACAATGTATTCTCAGATATAGAAATAAGTATAATAAAATGTTTATATTTCAAATTACCATTATACAGTAAGTAAATTCTACCAATTATTAAAACAGTAAACAACGTCGCAGTCTCTCATAATTCTATTTCATACAGCTTCAGTATTTTCAAAGATTTTTAAGTTTTAGAATTTATACAAATAAAAAAAGATTTTTTTAAATTTAAATTCATATTATAGAACATTTTAATTTTACCATTTTTACTAATTACCTTATTGCTACGTAACAACACAATCCCTTACATACCAGTAAGTAGACAATCTTTGTTATTTTCAAAAAATTATTGCATATCATCATCATACACAGCTTTCATATCGCTGTTTCTTAAATTCCTAAATCACATATTCTCTGTAGGCATACTAGAATTCTACACATTAATAAATAAAAAAATTTAATTCCTCACAATGAGAGAAAATAAGGAAATAAATACTATAAATTTGGAACACTAAGAAATGCTACAAACACATACATATATTATCAATGAACTTGTATTATCAAGTGCAATTACGATAGCAAACACTGCATATTAAAATAATTAGTTACTTAGAGGGGTCAAAGTTTACAGTTTTGCTACTGCTCAGTAGATCGTCGGACTATCGATATTTATCGTAAGTTGGAAAGCATTATCAACAAATCAAAACCAAACAATTAAAAATACAATTTAAATACAAAAAAAAAAAAAAAAAAAAAAGATGTCTAAAGTATAATTTACAATTAAAACAACAATACAAATTTAAAATATGCAAATGATATATTAAACATTGCATATAAAATACGTTACATCACTGCTCGGCATAACACACAGCCTCGCTTTGGCCATGTGCACAACGATCTGTCGCTCAAAAAAACATCAAAGAATTGCAAAAAATCGGTGTCCATGTACACATCAATCCATTTTCACTCAAAAAAAAAATCAATGCACAAACTCGACATTGCACACTCCCTTGGCTTTGTTCATGTATACATCCATCTATTTCCAGTGAAAAAACATCAGAGGATTGCACAGACTCGGCATCGCGCACTGCCTTGGCTTTGCCCCTGTGCAAATTTATCTATTTTCCTTTCGAAAAGCATCTGGGAATTGCAAAAACTCGGCACTGTGCACCACACTGACTTTACTCATGTTACACATTGATCTATTTTCACTTAAAAAACCATCAGATAATTGCACAAACTCAGCATGAAGCACTGGCTTGGTTTTGCCCATCTTCTTGGATTGAACAAAAAAGATAACTAAATATTAAAAATAATCAACTTTAGAAAGAAACATAAAAGAAAATTTTTCTACTTATCGTTTTCAAGAAAAATGAAAAGTCTATTTGAGAGGTTTTATATATATATATATATTTTTGAATTTATGCCAAGGGGCAAACTCCCTTGAACCACCCTCCCCCCATCTTTAATAAAATTTACTCAGTTTTATTCGCAATTTCTGGAATATATGCAGAAAAATGGCAAAAACACAGAGGAAAAAAAAACACCACATAAGAACAATCAAACAGGAACTGAAATAACAGCTCAAATTAACAAATGGGGAAAAAAAAAAAAAAAAAAAAAAAACAAAGCTTTTAGATTTTTACATCATGTTCAAAGGGATGTTTTTACCTTTATTTATTAAATATCATGTTCTTTGCACTTAAACCATAAAATTCAGTTCAACAGCAATATTGCAAAATAATTTTTAAATGAGCATATGTTTAGAATTTTCAATTCACAGTCGTGCACTGGAGATAAATCCCCCCCCCCCGGTAAAGCAAGCCATTGCTCGCTTTGAAATTGTTTGGTATCAAAAGTTTATTAAAAGTTTTACAAAATATAAAATAGATAATAAAACAAATTCAAAATTCCAAATTTGGGCTTCCAGATGCCCATATCTGGGTGGAAACATACATTATTCAAAATTTGATGGCTCTAGGTATTGTTGTTTTATCACAGAGTGAGAAACATACATACATTTATGCAGTTTCTTAATTATTTAATTTCTTTAAATAGAACACAAGGCGATAATATTTAGTGGCAACAATTTGAATAACAACACAGCTTCAAAATATTTTGTTATTCATGTTGGCACGTTTATTGCCTAGTCAAAAAGAAAAATCTCCAAGCAATGGGCTAAACAAAAATTTGGGCCGAATAACTTTCTGCCAGATAGCAAGTGGATGATATGATTGAGCTCTAGTCCCAGAGATCAGTTCAATACACAATACAACAGACAAATATTTTTTTTTTCCTTACTTTCAAACTACATATAATAGTTAGGAAAAACCCATTTAACAAAAAAGTTAACCAAACTGACATTAATTTCTCACTGTAACTGGTTCGAAGATTGCCCTTCAAAGTTAACACTTAGCATCTATCTTAGCTCCCAGTTCTGGACAACCTCAAACACAAAATGCACGTTTTTATATTAATTTTTTATGTAATTAATGTATGATTGCAATATTAATGAAAATTTTGCAAATGAATTTTTCCCCAAAAGATAAAATAATGCAATGGTCACTAACTGATTTACTAAGTGAATTAAAGAGATTAACTATTTTACATGTTTACAGTATTAACAGAAAAGAATTTTAGTTATGATGTAATATTCAATTTACCATTTTGAGCTAGTTATTTCTTAGATGGTGCCACCGAAATGCTATTTTTAAATATATAAATAAATACAATTATTAATACATAGGTGAAAATGATTATTTTTATTAATTTAATAACCCATTAGATTTTAAATTCCTTTCAATTTCACAAAACAAAAGCATAAGTTTTTACCAGTCAGCCATACACATTATGCAGCATGGGCAAAAAATAAGTCATTTCTTTTATTAGCTTTCATATTCAAACATGTGATAAAGTGTTAGGAAACAGAAATTATTAAACTAAAATCAATTTTAATTTCACCATTTAAAATATAAATAGAAAAATCCTTCAGGAAAAAAAATCAAAAAAGGTTCAGATTTTAACAATAGCCCAAAAGGATTTGTTAAGGTTTTTCTCACTATGGCTGAGCTCACCGTCTACCAATCTGTTGCAGCCTTTACTACTGCTAAGCAGGCCCCCCCTTTTTTTTAGCTTTATTACTAAGCGTCATTTCTTTGCATTTACGCCATATACAGTTCAACGGCAAAATTTTAAAAGCATCACGTGTTTAGAATTCTCGATGAAGTATTTTTCTACTTTTCCAAGTCTTTCCTTAGTTCATTATCAACGTTCAGTTTTCTTACTAAAATGGCTAGCAAAACTTTGTCTTTTTATTATTAATGTTTGGTGCATTACAATAAATATCATGTTCCTTGCACTTAAGTTACATAAAATTCAATTCAATTCAGCAAAATCACAAATTATTTAAAACAGCACACCTTTAGAATTTTCAAAATACAGTTTTGTGCACTGGAGGTAATATTTTTTTTCCTGCACAGTTGCCACTGCTCGCTTTGAAATCATTGAGTTTGTTAATAAAAAATTCATTAAAAGTTTTACAAAATATGAAATAGATGATAAAATAAATTCAAAATCTGAACTTGGTCTAGATGCAAATCTTAAGAGTGACAGACTATATTATTCAAAACTGGATGGCTCTAAGTACCATCATTTTTTCACAATGCGAGAAACATACATACATTCGTGCAGATTCTTCATTATTTAATTTCTTTAAAAGTAAAATAATGTGATAATGTTTCTTGGCAACAATCTGAAAAGTGATTCAGACATTTAAAATTATATGCCGCAAAATCCCATTCGAGCTAACACCTTTTCTTAGCTAATAAATAAAAGCAGCAGATACAATTAGCTACCTATATACGAGGGCTATCCAGAAAGTAGATTACGTTTTGGAATAAAAAAATAAACAAAGTATAGGAAACAAATTTTATTATATACAGATGAAAGCCACACTCAAATACTACTTTTCTACATAGTCACCATACAAATTAAGGCATTTATCGTAGCAATGTACGAGCTTGGAAATTCCTTCGTCGAAAAATTCGGCCGCCTGCGCCTTCAACCACTTCGTTACCTCTTCTTGCAGCTGTGCGTCGTCATCAAAACGCTGCATAGCCAGCCACTTCTTCATTGCTGGGAATAGGTGGAAGTCGCTCGGTGCCAGGTCGGGACTGTACGGCGGATGAGGAAACAACTCCCACTTAAAAGATTCAAGAACTTTACGAGTGACATTTGCCGTGTGGGGCCGGGCGTTGTCGTGAATCAACAAGATCTTAGAGCTCAACATTCCTCTGCGCTTGTTTTGAATTGCTCTTCTGAGTTTTTGGAGAGTTTGGCAATACCTTTGAGAGTTTATTGTAGTGCCTCTTTCCAGGAAGTCCACCAAAATTACACCTTTTCTGTCCCAAAAAACAGTCGCCATCATCTTCCTTGCCGACATTGTTTGCATGCATTTCTTGGGTTTTTTGGAGAACTTGTGTGCCCCCACTGCATTGATTGCAATTTCGTTTCACAGTTCACATGTTTCACCCATGTTTCGTCACCAGTAACGATGCGATCGAGTAAAGAGTCACCATTCTTATGGTAAGCGTCCAAAAAGTTCAACGCTGCAGCCATTCGCTGATTTTTGTGGTCCTCTGTCAAGATTTTTGGAATCCATCTTGCACAAAACTTGTGGTAACCAAGCTTTTCGCTGATGATTTTGTGCAACAAACTTCGCGAAATTTGTGGAAAACTCAAAGAAAGTTCCGTTATTGTGAAATTTCGATTTTCACGGACTTTAGCATCGACTTTTTCGAGAAGTTCGGCGGTCACTATGCTGGGTCTCCCACTTCGATCTTCGTCGTGAACATTGGTTCGGCCATTTTGAAATCTTATGACCCACTGACGCACTCCACCTTCAGTGATAATGTTGTCCCCATACACTTCACGAAGCTGCCGATAGATTTCTATCGGTTTACAGTTTTTTGCAGTCAGAAACCTTATTACTGAGCGCACCTCGCAGCTCGCGGGATTTTCAATTAACGCAGACATTTCAAACCGTCACAGTATCTGAACGGAGCACAGCACGAACCTCTCACTAGCACGGCTAGATGCAGACTGAGCTGCGCAACGCTCTGACCCCAAGATGGCCGCGCTAGCCCCGCCCCTAGCGGACACAGACGGAAACGTAATCTACTTCCTGGATGGCCCTCGTAGCTACTATAAATAAATTAGCTACCTAGGTAGCTACTATTACTATCTATAAATGTGTAAATGATTTCTATAAAAACATTTTGAAAAATAATGAAAATAAGCCAGATTACTGGCCTAATGAATTTTAAAAAATGTCCTTGTAAGATTAGATTTTAATTCCACAAAATATCATAAATCTAATTTTTTGTTTTTTGTTATTTAATGCATAAGTTGCAATAAAAAAATTCTTTATAATATCAATCAATACCAAAAATGCCACCACTGCTATTTTCAGCATAAAACATTCATTTTTGAGCATTTAAAAGAAACATAATGAAAAACACACAATGCTTTGAGTTAATGGTTTAGATTGAAATAATTCATCAAAACTTCATTGCTTTAGCATCATTAATAATTTCCATGTCCCACATTAAATCAAATTTAAGGGACTGTGTAGATCAAATTTAAGGTATTACTAAAATTAGTATCCTTTTCTTAGACACCACCTAAAACTAAAATTAATTACAATAAAATGATATTTTATCTATAATTTGTGAACACTATTCCAATAAATAATAAATTAAATAAATAGTTTTTGGTACTACAGAATTTAGTTGAAAGTTTTATATGAAATGCTATAAATCCCTCCAATAATTTGTTTTGATTTCAGGCTTATTTGATCAGTATTATTGTTTTTAGCTATTAATTAAATCTACAACATATTATACTATCTCTATTCTTAAATAATGAAGAATCTTTGTGTATTATGTATACTTGTCCTCACGTTACAGAAAAACAGCAACACCTAAGAGCCCCCAAATTTTGAATATTCACAGTCCTCTGCTTGACCGCACAGGCCAAATTTTGATTTTTTTTTTTTTTTTTTTTTTTTTTTTTTTTTTTTTTTTAATATTCATTTTTGCATTTTGTGCAAACTTAATGAAATTCTGAATAACAAACTCAACAAGTTAGAAGCGATGCCCCTTGGCAGAGGGTTCATATTTGTGTTTTAATTTTAATCAGAAAACTATTAAAAGAAATGTGATATCATCTGGTAAAGCATAAAATATTTAAGTTTTCTTTCAAATTTAATCTGTTTGTTACAAACAAAATAATCAATTTAAAAGCAATAAGCGTTTCTTTATCTCTATCACTAATTACTAGCTGGATTCATACAACTACACTAAATAAACTCAATTACCATATATTTTTAGTTTTATCATTTACATACCATTACATACACTATTTTAGGTTGGTAATAATAATAAAAAAGTGATTAATTTTTATTTTAACAATAAACAAATACACTAAAAATAATTCACTGAATGACTTTAGCTAATTACAACAATAAAGAAATATATGTTTCATTCAGGACTATTATTTCCTTACAAGTGTTACAAAATTTTAATTACCATAAGCCATCATAACTGCTTGACACAATCAAAGATCCATCTCTATTGAAATGCACCTAAAAATATTTAACTTATTTTAATGAGATGAAATTACAGTCATACCAGAAACTAATTTGTACAAATAACACACTAATACATTAGTGTATTACTGTAATAATATTTATTACAATTACGCACTACAGTAATAGCATTTTATTTCAGGACTTTGAAAACATAGACCACAATGAAACAGAAGCTGCATTACATAAAATATAATCACTAATGCTACTAATTCATAAATTAAACAAGCATGTACATATAGTCTGTAAGTACAAATGATGAACATATTTCACATACTGGGTTATTTGAATAATAAAGATTACAATTTTATTATTTCTAGATTTTAATAATATTCATTTACTCAAACAACCTGTATTTTAACTTTCCTGAAGAAAAAAAATTACATAATATATACTTTGAAATGAAAGAATTATCAAATTTAAAGAAACCTTTTATGCATCACAACGATAAATATAATTTTAAAAAAAAGCACTTTATTACCTGACTATTATAAAAAATTCACATAATCATTAAACTCTTTCCAACTTATGAATATTTTTTTTATAAAAATAATTTTAAAAAAAACTTTTTTAGCACAAAAATTTTGTAAAGATAGCTCTAAAAACAGAAGTTTTAGCTATAGAGAAAATTTTATTAGTTTATTCATTTTGTGGACTGATAATTACAAAATCAATCACCCATGGGCAACTCCCCCATTTTAATAACAAAACTTTCTATTGCCACTATTACTCTGTGTCACAAGTCTAAATGGCTGGAACTCAAAATGGGAAGATCTTAATTTTTTAACAGATTCTTTCATGTTTATAAATCGAGAATTAAATTATCTTGATTTTAACCTTATTAAAAACTCAGACTAAGCTCCTAACACTGGGATTAAAGCAATAAAATTTCTCAGGAAAAAGCCCAACATTGTCTCTCTCCAAGATTTAGAATCACATGCAGTTTCATAAAACATATTTAAACCTCTTGCTATGTAACTTTTTTTATCAAAATATGTTCAAAAATTGCATTCTTTTTTATTACATATTTCAAATCTACATATGTTACATACACTAGTTATCATAAATTAAAGAAAAATCACAAAAATCACGATTACTGAAAAAAGTTACATGTAGAATTTTATGAAAATTACCCACAATATACAACACATAGTAAGGTATCAAATAACATAAAAAGAAATTTGACAATTATGGTAGTATAGAAATTAGCACATGTATAAAATGAACAAATCAAAGGTGTCAGTTTGCTATAGGAAAAGTACCTTCAATAGGGAATATGGTTGCCTCTAGAAGCAATACAGCACCTACAATGATGCGTGATGCTTTCAATTATGCGGTCTATCAGTTCATAGGAAGCGAGAGCCATTGCTGTTGCAAGCACGGCAAGGGACTGAGAGCAGCTAGACGTCTCTCTAAATCATCCCAAACATACTTGATAGGATTCAAGTCTGGGGATCGAGCTGGCCACTCCATGCGCATAATTGTTTCCTGTTGAAGATAATCATCTACGATGCGAGCCCTGTTGTGGTCTTGAGTTATCGTCTTGTAATAGAAAAGCATCACCTATTGCCCCAGCACATGGGTGCACATAAGCATCAAGGATGTCATCTCTATAAATATGAGCATTCACGGTTCCCCTTGGAAAAACATGGAGGTCTGCGCGTCCGCCCAAAGAGATGCCACCCCAAACACAAACACTGCCTCTTCCATATGCATCTCTTTAACAGATATTTGACGGATGATAACAGATTCCAGGTTCTGTCTATATCAAATAACGCCTATTATCGCTTTCTGGACTAAACTTGCACTCATCCGTAAAGAGAACAGCCCTCCACTGATCAAGCGTCCAGTGGACATGTTGTCAGTCGGAGTAGCAGTTCTATTCCTACGTGCACATAATGTCAAATATCGGTCATCGCAACTCGTCGTAGCAGTTGGCCGTCCTTAGCTGAACCTCCTAGAGGCCGAATCTGTGGTTTGAAATCGCCTGCAAAGTCTATGAACCACAGAAGGAGTCACATTAAAGACGAATTTTTTGTTAATATTTTCCTCAAATCTCCAATTTCTCATATATAGAGGTGCTCATATTTCGAGGTTCCACTGTACTTTTTAAACACAAAAATTAGTTTCTATTAGTGTTATTTGCTTACTTAATTACCACAAAGCACTCAAAGGCTGTCTGCTTACGGAAAGGAATGCCTACGAGGATTCATTTTTAAGAGATATTGGCTCATATCCACATTACACATGGATAAAATCATAAAAACACCCATGGAGCCACATGGAATAGAAAATAGTCACATGGAATAGAAACTAAGTCAAATAATCAGTATTCAGCGATTTTGCTTACTTAATTATGGCAAAGCACTCAAGGGCTATCTGCCTAAGGAAAGGGACGCCTATGAGGATTAACTTTTTAGGGAACTTGGCTAATATCCATATTACACATGGGGAAAAACACCATAAATTACACCCATAAAGCCAGCCCATTCACTTGGAATCGGACTCAAGCCAAATAATCAGCATTCAGTGATTTTACCACTGACCACTCATGGGCTCATTAATTGCTTACATTACAATTATGAGAATCATACAAAATTATTAAAAACAGTATCACATATGAGAAATGTCCATGGCAAGTCTGTAGATAACTGAAAGTAATAATTATACTCCTTGTATTGCAACATGGATACATAATATAATGTTTATCTTTACATAAATGGGATACTAGAAACATTCTTTAAAAATTCTGTATTTCTAAAAATTTTAAATCTCATTTTCTCAATTCTTATGATGTCTTAAGAAGATTTATTTGCCACCTCTTTAAATCAACCATCGTTGATGAAAAGTCAGCAAAAGCAAACTATAGATATGATTTTCATTTCTTAAAATGAAGTTTGCAAAGATTGGTGGAACTGAAATTAAGAAGATAAATTAGTTGTGGTCCTCAAATTAGGGAACTAATTAATGATATTTTTTTGGTAATAGAACAGGAAATAAACCTGAACTCATGCATGTTCTTAAAAAATATTATCATGAACTTAAGCATCAAAAAAGAAACCAAAAGACAGAAAAATATAAAAAAAATTATAGAACTCCTGAAACCTTGTGGGTGTAATTGGTCATACAATATTGAACACCCAATCTTAAATTTTCCCACAAGATCTAGAAGCTATAAATTATATCTTAAATAGTTATTGTTTCAGAAACATGTAACCAAATCTAGGAAATGGATGTTTCTCAGTTGATGAATATAAATCATAACATACTCACAGCTGAAACAGGATCTGAATGTGCAGGAAGGGTTTTCAAACATTTCCCAGTTTTCACATCCCAAATGCGAACACTTTCATCAAACTAAGAAAAAATTCAGATCAATTAAAATACTTGTAAATTTCCAAGAAATATTCACTAGTTATTGTAAGTCATAAAAGAAATAATGAAAAGAAGGATTTAAAAATAAAATTACTCAAAATTACACCACCACAAATATTATACAGCCTCTACACAAACAATATGTTAAGTCAGCGCTGTCCAACTTATCATAGCCCACGGGCCATATTTTCTTCAACAAACATTTCGGGGGCTAAGAAGGTTGATAAATGAAAAGTCAGTTTATGTTAATTAACAAAATATTTTATTTATACTAAAAAGAAAACTTTAAAATATTCGTAATATATCAATGAGAACATTGTGGCCGTAATTGTTTAACAATATCTTTTATGTCCACATCAATATTTGTTGTGGCAAGTCCAATTATATCTTCAAGAGTGGAATCTTTCAAACTGTTTCTATATTTTGACTTTATATATTTCATATCGGAGTATGCACACTCGCAGATATATATGCACTTCCGAACATTGATACAACTTGAAGTCCAAAATCTTTCAATTTGGGATATTTCTCTTTATCTAAAATTCTCAATATTTCTATTCCAGTTACTCCACAAGATGTAAAAAATGGGTCAGCCTGCAAGTCGCATAATTCTATTTGATATTTAAGATCAACAGAGTTGATATCGATATTAATTGGATCACAAAATAAATCAATAGATGGTTTAAGATCATCAAATTGAGAAAATCTTTCATTGAAATTTGCAATTAGCATATCCAATTTTGGTAGAAATATTTTTAAATTTGATTCTATATTACATTCCTTCATTTCTTCATAGATGTCTTTGCAAGATTCAAAATGAAATAAATTATTTTTGCTCCAAATTAAACCTTAACAATTTTAATTTGTTTCTAAATCCAGTAACTTATTTATAAAGGCAACACACATTTTGATCTTGTCCTTGCAAGGATTTATTCAAAATATTTAAATAATTTGTAATGTTCGTTAGGAAAGCAAGTGAATAAAAATTTTTATCAACTAAATTTACTGTCAAATTTTTATCGACGGCAATTTCTGTGAGAAAAAGATGATTTTTTTTTTCGAAGTGTAAAGAATCTCCTCAAGCACTTTCCAGCACTTAACCAACGAACGTTACTATGTAAAAGCAGATCTCCATACTCAGTTTCCAATTCATCCAAAAACGTTTTAAGTTTTTCGGTGTGTATGAGAACAATTTCCACCATGAATTAAATTAGTAATTTTGCAAACCTTGTCCATTACGTCTTCTAGTTGTAGGGATAAACCACATAATGCCTCCTGATGGATATACGTAACTACGACATTATTCCTTCTTTTGCAAAAGTCTCTGAGCCCAATATTTTCCCTGTCATAGCTCTAGCACCGTCATTACAATAGCAGTGCACTTGTCAAATCTCCGTACTGCCTACTGAACATTTTATTGTTGTCACCTTGTTTAAGATTGATTTTAAACGTTCTTCTGAATAATTATAGATAATTTGATCGGAAATTAAGCCTGAATCATTTCATTATTTTAAATGCTTGAGACATTTTTTGATATCGATATTAATTGGATCACAAAAATAAATCAATAGATTAAGATCATCAAATGAAAATCTTTCATTGAAATTGACAATAGCATATCCTAGAAATATTTTTAAATTTGATTCTATATTAATTCCTTCATTTCTTCATAGATGTCTTGCAAGATTCAAAATGAAATAAATTATTTTGCTCCAAATTAAACCTTAAACAATTTTAATTTGTTTCTAAATCCAGTAACTTATTTAAAGGCAACACACATTTTGATCTGTCCTTGCAAGGATTTATTCAAAATATTTAAATAATTTGTAATGTTGTTAGGAAAGCAAGTGAATAAAAATTTTATCAACTAAATTTACTGTCAAATTTTTATCGACGGCAATTCTGTGAGAAAAAGATGATTTTTTTTCGAAGGTAAGAATCTCCTCAAGCACTTTCCAGCATTAACCAACGAAGTTACTATGTAAAAGCAGATCTCCATACTCAGTTTCCAATTCATCCAAAAATGTTTTAAACTTTCGGTGTGTAAGAAAACGATTTCCGCCACGAATTAAATTAGTGATTTTGCAAGCCTTCTCCATTACGTCTTTTAGTTGTAGGGATAAACCTCATAATGCCTCCTGATGGATAATACAGTGTAACATACGACATGTTATTCCTTCTTTTTGCAAAAGTCTCTAGAGCCCAATATTTTTCCCTGTCATAGCTCTAGCACCGTCATTTACAATAGCAGTGCACTTGTCAAATCTGCCGTACTGCTCTACTGAACATTTTAATTGTTTGTAAATATCTTCACCTTTTGTTGTTCCGTGTAATGATTGCAATTTTAAACGTTCTTCTGAATAATTATAGTTTTCATTTACAGTTCTTATAAAGATAAGCATTTGACTTGTATCGGAAATGCCTGTGCTTTCATCATATGCTATCAAAAAATAGCAGCAACTATTGATTAGGTTTTCTAATTTATTAGTGACATGCATGCTAATCTCATTTACACGTCAGCTTACAATCTGGTGAGAAAGTGATACTTTTTGAAATTTTCTTACCATTTCGTTGTCATTAAATGCTTGAGACATTTTTATGGCACATTTTTTAATGAATTCTCCATCCAAAAATGGCTTTTTTGCCTTTACAATTTCTAAACAAACTTCAAACGATGCAGCTACAGATGTTTCTTGAAATTTTGGTTCTTGATTAAAATAAATCGTTTTGATGATCCAGCTGCTTTTCATTTTTTTCACTAGTGGTATTTTCATGTCTCGCCTGTACGAATGATACTTTTTTTCATGCATGGAAAGATAATGGCGCTTCAAGTTACATTCTTTACACACAGCTATGATTTGTAAACATTCCAAACACTGTGGTTTACCATTCTTGTTCAGAATAAATAAAGAATCTATCTCTCAGCGATCTTGAAATTCTCCATTTTTGATGTCTACTTTTCTTTTATTAGTAGCACTCGTATTCAATAACTATTTTAATTAATAAATAAATATGAAATTAAATTAATAATATTATAACACAGTCGCCCCTCAACTAATTCTAGACAAGACTGCACTCACACGATTGCATGAATCAACCAAATAGCGCAGGGTAGTGTGTGCATCACGTGCGCCAACCATACATAAACAACAACCAACCACAAATATAATATGTGGTGCCAACATTGAGCCAACCATCATCAGACGTTAAATGGATTGCTGCTGTATTCAGCCAGGTTAGGTGAAGTTACGCAAACTAAATAGTACCTACTTTAAATTCAAATTAGATTTAAATTTTCACATAGTAAAATAATTTTAATATTAATAATAATAATTTAGTAACATAAATTTATTCATAGTAAAATGTACTTGCGGGCCGTAAAAATAATTTGGCGGGCCTTGCCGCCAGTTGGGCAGCTCTGCGTTAAGTAAATCAGTAAATAAAAATCTAAAAACAGAATTTATTGTATATTAATTCTACAAATGCTTACAACTTATTAAAAAAGGCATAATAAAGAAATACACTTAAAATTCAAGTCTTTTTTTTCAAGTAAATGAAAACTATTTTGTTACCTTATAGCAAAATATAGCTAGCACTTTTTTTATAAAGTGCTACCTATATTTTGTTGTATAATAATATGTATAATTTTTTTTAATATATATAGGTAGGACTTTTTTCAAAAAGTATTACTTGTATTCTTGTTCTATCCTTTTTAATAAAAAAGTCAGTTCAAATAATCTTGCATCATGAAATTAAATTATATAATCAAAATGAACAATTCATTTTGGAAATTTTTAAACAGTCCAACAAAGAAATAAAGAAAGAAAATACATAATGCACATCTGCAAGGAACAAAATATTAAAACAATACTAAAAACATACCATGTTGAAATTATTTTTGTAAAATGCCAATGATTTTACATTACATATCTCCCAAGAGTAGAGAAAGACAAGATACTAAATTTCTTAGCTAATATATTTCCTGACTTTTATCAGAACTAGTTTATATCAATGGAAAACCGGAAGACCACATGTACAATTTGTAAATACCTTTATATTTATGGCAATCACAATAGCGCTATATTAGCTAAAAAAATTAATGAGGACCACTGGCAATAAATACACGGGCTGATAGTTCAAAACATAATCCAGAACTTTTTCATGAGGAAAACTCAATGAAGAATTAATAATGATGAGTAAGAAATCAGACAGCAAGTCGTATCATATCTTTATAGTAGACTACATTCTCTCTCAACGAAAGCAAAAGCAATTCCATGCCAAAATCTTTCAACTAAAGAGAGTAACCCAAACAAACAAACAAACCCAAAACAAAAAAACAGAAATTATCAAAGATATAATTAGGGGATAGATCACGTTAAAAGCTGCAAGAAAATCAGTGTAGTTGTACAGCTTGCATAGTTTCCAGCTTTAAAACATGAATAACATGAACCTGGTTACTGCATTGCACCTTGAAGCCATTCAAAAGAACTTCAACTCCCTTTTAATGCATGATTCGGGGTATTGAATAGTTTATAACATAATTCTGATGTAAAATGTACTAATATTCAATTAGATATTCTAAAGTTTATGTTTTTGGTTAATTTTTCCTTTCTGATGATATTATACTGAGAAACTCCTTTTAATATCACAATGCTTTGTAATATGATGAAAATAAAGTTAGTTAAGTATATATGATTACGAAGATAAACTTTAGTAATGTATCATATATTGATGTAAAACAAAATTAAATTCAAATATAAACACTAATTCAACAAATATTGAATTTTCATAAAAAGTTCTACCGATGTCTGCAGCAGATTAAAAAAATTAGATTACAGGCACTAACACAGCAAAGAAAATTGAAAGGGGAAAACAACGTGGGAGAAAAAGCAAAGAGAAAACATCCCCCAAAAAAAAAAATCCTCTAAAACACTGAGGTATTAAGCTTCATCGTAGAAAATAAAGGAATTAAAAACTTGTTTTAAAATTCAAAGCTTATCAAAAATTTAATTTTGCTTCTGATGAGAGAACAAAAATTAACATTCATCTTCTTATAAATTACAAATTTATCAAAACTGTATTTATTAATGACAATCTGACAAAGGCGGTTCTAAGAATAAAAGCAGTTTTTACGTAACTGACACATTTCATACCTTACATCATGCTATAGTATGCTATAGTATGCTATAGTATCAAACTAAGTACTTATAAATATGCCTTTATACACATGCACAAAATTAAACAGCAAAAATTAATACTTACAGATCCTGAAACTACCAAATTTGACTGAGGATTAAAGTTTGTACAAAAGACATAATTACTGTGTCCCTTCAAAGTTTTCACACACTTTCCCTAAATTAAAGAATAGAAAATCTAAATTAATACAAAAATTATAAATAATGAAATTATGATTTTACAATATTTTGCAAATTAAACCTTGCACTTTTAAAAGTAAATCACTAAAAGGAAAAAGAAAATCCTTCTCAAGACTAACTGATTTGCAAGTTCAATATATTTAAAGCACATTTAAGTAAGATAGGTACATACCGAATAGTCAAATATGTATATATACATAATTTCAACAAATCATTAATATAAAACACTTACAGAAGATACTTCCCAAATCTTCAGAGTTTTGTCATCAGATGCACTAACTAGCAAACGGCTATCAGTTGACCAAGCAACATCAGAGATACCCTAGAAAAGAATATTTTGCCAATACAAACAAGTTTAAAGCAAGACCACTCAAAATGCACAGAAAAATTTTAGAACAATTCTGAATAACAAAACAGGTAACTCATGATGCACCCAAAATGTAATTATGTGGCAATCCAAGTAAGTGCTAAGAGATAGCAGACAAGAGATGATTTCCGCCTTCAAATTCAACAGTTATTTTTTTATTACAGTTTGTTTTTGTCGCACTCAAGTACATTTCTTTTTTCTTGTAAGCAATCATAATGGGATTGAGTTTTCCACCTGAGGAAACAGAAACATAGTGTCTCTACAGAAAAACAGCATTTTACTGAGCAATAGATTCTATGAGGTTGTTCTCGTAAACTAGGGATGCATAACCTGTGGCCCGCAGAGACCTTTTCAAACTTTTGTTGCAATTTGACATATCGGTTGTCTCTAGAAGGGCTCGCGAGCAAAAAAAAATTTCACCATCCCCCCCCCTTCATTACTCATTCTATTCTGTCCCCTCGAAGTGAGATTTGGCACTGAGCCAAGTTCCCGGAGTCAAACAAAGCACGTATCCGCTGCCTGAACACGAAAATTTCTTCTACCCAGTAGGACCAACACCTGTAGAAGATTGAAAAAGAGTCTGTGGTATGATGTAGCACGAGTGTGTTTGTACACATGTTCTAGTAAAGTGGAAGAGAAAAATATTTGCTCGGATTCGAAGTGGTGCATTCCCTTGCTTGGCATCGTTGCACTTTGGCTTCATGACTATGCATCGTTTTATCACGTGTGCGTTTATTTTTCTTTTCAAAACCATTAACCCTTTGTGGCGCACTATACGTTAACGTTGGAATTTAAATAAAAAAGTTGTATGCAGTCTATTTAGTCCTAAAGGAGTATACAGGTAAAATTTTGTAAAAATTGCACTAACCGTTTTAATTCTGTGGGTGTTCCATGAGATGGAACCCTGCGCCGCCAGAGCTTTTAAAAGTGCGACTAAGTGAACATTGCAGTGAAGCACGAAAATGAGTAGAAGCATTTGTATAAGAATGAAAAAACTCTGTATTATGGCTGTATACATGGTTTCCTGGATATACACAATATTCTTGAATATATACGGATAAATGAGATAAATATCTCTATACACAAGTCCTATATACAAAAATATTTACAAATTTTTCTATTTCTTAGCTTTGTGAAACTGTTCAAACCAAGTCACACCTTTTTGATGGAAGCACAAACCAACTTTGTAGGTTTTGCACATAAAACTTATTTTGTGCAGCTTCTGCTTCACGCTACAATGTGCACATCATCTACGGGTACCCTTCACAGATATGTCTTCAACACAAATGTAGCGTTTTTCCCTGGAAACCTTTATGCCTGGGAACACCTTCAGGTCTTGAAGGAAGTCGCCTCTTCAAAGTTATCTCTGGCGCTTTCATGGCACAGAGGGAACACAGCAAATTTAAGTGTATAATATATACACACACGAAAAATATCTACACATTATTGAAAATAAATGGGTGTGAGACTAAAAAGCGACAGCAAAAAATTTGGGCAGGTCTAAGTAAAGATGTGTTAGGCTACTAATAAAATTCCCGCCTAAAAACTACTCCCAAAAAATTCAAGATGCCAATATTAAGGTTTTCATAACACAAAACACGCCTCACCCCTCAATACTGCTTTGTTTGAATTCATTCCCCCCCCCCAAAACAACGGAAATAAAAAACGTAAACCACGTATGTTCTCTCCAAAGCACAGATGTTCTGATTCGTAACAGCTTGAGATCGCTAAAGGCGCAGTGTTCCGCTAATGGAACACCTGGTTTTATTCAATGATTCTGCGTATGGTTTTTGTATGAAAGATTTAAAAAAAATATATAGAACAAATAATTTGGAGTACAGCCAGCAAAATTATGCCTAATTCTTTTTCCAAATAAAATTTTTATATCATTAAAAAATAGAGAAAATTACTTGAAAAAAGTGGATTTTAATAACACATAATAAATGAAAATTCTGTGTCTCCTTGTGATATGCTGCCATCTACTGTTTAAAAAGAAAAGTTCAAAGTATACTATAAAGGCATTTTTATCTATTTACGGTTGAATTTAAAAGTTTCAGAAGCGATTCAATTTGGGTATTCCATGCAGTGGAACACTGAGCCACAAAGGGTTAAGAAGGTTTATGTTTTGAAAATTTCCCTTTAAAAAAAAAAAAAAAAAAAAAAAATATTATTTTGAAAGTGGAACCAATGTAGAATTTTTTCAATTTCTGTTCCAAGTGGTTTTGATAGTTGCCATGATGAATGGATGCATAACAAAAAGAAAGTTAGCAGATGATAACAGGAAATTTTCGGAGGCCTGGACTTCGAAATATTTTTTGTCGAGCAAAATAATACATTTGCATGCTTGATATGTAATTTTAAGATTGGTATTTGCAAGGAGTATAACATTAAGCGACACTACGACACAAAACTCTCAACATTTTCAAAGCTTGAGGGATAGGATCGAAATCGTAAAATTGAATCTCTTCGCTGTTCTCTCGTTGCTCAATGGAATATATTTACAAAAACTGTGTTGAAGTTAATTTGAGAATTGCAGCCTTAATTGCTAAAAGTAGCCACCCATTTACTGATGGTGATTTTGCAAAGGAATGTACATTGTTGCTTCCGAGAAAATATGCCCTGAAGCTACGCAGAAATTTAAAAATGTGAATCTCAGCAGAATGGCAATTCAAAGGAGAATTGAAAATTTATCTGATGATGTTGCTGAATAAGTACAGAATGCTGTCGCCAAATGTAAGTTCTTTTCTCAAGCAGCTGATGAGTCAACAGATATTACTTCAACAGGTCAGCTTCTTTTGTTTGTCAGAGGAATTTTGAAGTAACTGAAGAACTTGTTGGAATGAGTTCAATGAAGGGGCGAACAATTGGAACTGATATTTTATTCCCAGTTTTAAATTTGTGTCCTGCACATAATTTTGGCATTAACAAACTTGTTAGTATCACTACTGATGAAGCTCCAACCACGATTGGAATTCAGAATCGCATTGTGAGAAACCATTTGGATGATAGAGGAAAAGATTTGTCTGGGTATCATTGTATCATACACCAAGAACAGCTATGTGCAAAAGAACTAGGATTTGACCGCCTAATGAAAGAAGTGAGCAATACAATCAATTTTATTCACTCACATGGTTTAAACCACAGGCAATTTAAGGAAATCCTAGAACACACAGATGCACCACATAGTGATCTCATATATTAATCTGAGATAGGATGGTTGAGCAGTGGAGAGGCTTTGAAAAGGTTTGCTGATTTGACTGATGAAATAATACCATTCTTTGAAGAAAATGGCACGCAAACTAGGATGTTAAATGAACCATCTTCATCATCTTCAAATGTGACTTAGCAATTTTAGTTGATGTGACAGCCCATCCGAATGACCTAAACAAAAAATTGATGAAAAAGATCAATCACCTGGCCTATGCAGTATCTGCTTTCAAACTAAAACTCCAGCTATTCTCAAAGCAGCTTGGCTGTCAAAATTTTGTCAATTTTCCTTACCTGAAGAAACTCAAAAAAAATTTTCTTGATAAACAACTGGATTATTCAAATCAAATAAAGAGGCTGCTTATTTCTTTTGAAAAGCAATTTGCAGACTTTGAGTTGCATAAAGTTAAATTTAAACTGTTCTGGGATCCATTTTCTACTATAGTCAAAGAAGCTCCAGAAGATGTTCAAATAGAACTTCTGAAGATCTACAAACTTCTGACTTATACAAATTCAGATTCTGCGATTTAGATATTTTGGACCTTTATAGAACTCTACCTGCTGAATTTTTGCACTTAAAAATAATGCAAGCACATGTGCTACCATATTTGGTAGTACTTATATATATGAACAAACATTTTCTCTTATGAATCTAAATAAGCCAAAATTAAGAAATAAACTGACAGATCAACACTTGAAATCTATCTTAAGAATCTCAACTTTCAACCAAATATATCAAAAATTGTTGATAAAATTCAGTCTCAACCATCACACTGTATTTAACTATGGCTAACTTGTACACATTTTTATTAAAATATTTGCATACAAGTACTGTTACGGTTTTGGTATTTAAATAGCTAATGCTAGTTGAATTATAAATTAAATGATTTTATTTCCCGTAAAAGAAAACTAAGCCGGAAAATTGAAAATACAAGAGCACGTGCATTTAACATTTAATAAATAATATCTCTTTTTGATTTCGAGAAAGTACTAGAAAATTCTCGAGCGCGATTTTAAAATCTCATAAAAGGAGGAAAACCTCTCAGTTCGTAGTTAGTTACTTAGTTTGTCGTTGTTTTAAGAGTTTGTTTAGAAAACTGCTCTTGTTGTAGCGAATTGATTCGCGAATTAGCTTTCTTTAGCTGTTTTGAATTAAGTTCTCTTGAACGTTTGAGTAGTTAGAAGATACTACTGTGACATATTGTGATACTGCACGATTATTTGAGGACATTTAATCAGATTTGTAGTGATAATAATAAATTTCTTCATTTTTCATCGGACTTGTGCATTCATTTCGAAAGAATCCGTACGCACGCAACAGTATTATTATACACAAGCATAAACTGTATCCCCCCAAGCTGATCTGGATGTTTTGGCCCCAGTAGCACATGCAAGGGAAAAGGGAAACCCCATCCCTCTTTACTTACATACATACACACATAATGCTATCCAATTTAAATTGATATGATACATGTCTGAATTGCAAATTAAGCAACTTATTGCATTGGCCCCCCTTCTCCCCCAAGTCGTTTCTGTTAATGGCCCTTCTGCTAAAAAGGTTGTGCATCTCTATCTTAAACGATCAAATTTTAGGAATTGAAATTTGTGCAATTTTTTAATGCTTAAACAAAAACAGATACTGCATACATTGGAATAACGATAAATTTGTACAGTGTTAAATTATGTATAAATGCCTAATATGTGCAACTCTTATTAAAAACACATCATTGAGTACACAGGAAGAACAGTAGGAAAAAAAGATAAGTGTTTTATTACAGATGTTTCTTGCATTTTTAATTTTGCTGATTGGTTGACATTTTATGTAACTCTTAGTGTGCCACCATTTTTGAAAGCAGAGGTCTTTCACATCTTTGCTTGGTGAAAAATTAGTCAGCAATGATTGGCAAATTTTCATGCAGGAAAGGCAGACAATCATAAGGTATCGATATTTGAAATATGCATAAAAATCCTGCTAGAGTATGACACTGACCATGTGAATAATAACCTAAGCAGATCTGAAGCATCCTTTTCTATTTGCTTTTTGATGCATTTATAGGAAACTGGCCATTTCATTTTCATTACATACGATCAACATAAAATGAACAAATTACATGCATAACTATAATTCATCTATAAATATATAATTTATCAGCATATAGTTTTAAAATAAAGCAGAGAAAGATTATATCCACAGTTTTAAAATAAAGCAGAGAAAGATTATATCCATAAGGCCAATGAAGTCCTTAAAAGATTTTTGGGAAGTAGAAATAATTTTATCTCATATATTACTTTAAAAAATTCAAGCTATAATCTAGGAAGGGGGACTGAACAACGAATAAGCTTGAATGAAACCTTACAACTCCACCAATTTAATTCACACCACTCATAACAAGAATCAAACCACTGCAAGTCATGAAAAGTGAGATATTAAACCTATTACATTATTACTTCACTTGCATTCCAACTTAATCATAAAGGTTGTTAACTGTCATTTTCATCATAAACAATCAAAAATTATGAAATACAAATGTTAAATTTTGAATAGCATGTTGCACTAATTTGAGTCTATTAAAACTACGCATAATCAATCTGCAATCAGATACATGCCATATTCATGCATATTCCCTTAATTTTTATCTCTAATTTTCGAAGGGGAAATCCCAAGAATAAGCCATAAATAAACTACCATCTACATTTTTTTTTTCCTTTAAAAAAAAGATGTAAAAGCAGCTAAAAATGAAAAGAAATAACAAATATATATATATATATAATGTTGTATGATCTTAAATTCATTTAGTGCGAAAACAAGTTACTACTACTTGCGCAATTGCTGCAAAGTTAGTTAATAATAATTTATATCCTAAACAATATTGATTAATTGATTATATTATCTCCTAAGTTTAATTAAAGTAGAATTATTTTAAAAGAGTGAATCCATACTGGTAAGTTTTATATTTTGAAAGATGTTTTGAAGTAATTTGAAAGCAAAATGTTAATAATGTTTTAACGGGGACTGGAGTTAAATCATCATGAAGAATAAAATTTCAATTGTAAAAGGAAAAATTAAAAACATGTAATCATTGTCATTGATCATAAATTAGTTGACTTTTCAAAGGAAACAAACCAACTCCTGTTCATTGAACAATAATTGATAAAAATACGTAAATACGAAGGTGTTTCGTCTTTACTCGAGTTATAAGTTAAAGCGAAACCAGCAATTCTAGTCAGGCCAAATATTTCCGCGAATAGAAGGGATTACAAACCAATGCTGATACTCAAAGAACTAATTCTTATGAAGCATTTTAGTCAATTCAATTTGGAGTAAAAAGCAATTTCTTTAGAGAAATCCGAAATAACTCAAGTAACCGTCCCCGACACCTTCATGTTTATGCATTTGAGTTCTATATATATATTACCAGTTAAAAAAAAACATATTTCTATGTTTAATACCTCTTATTTATTGTCACTGTCAATACCACTAGAATAGTTGTCTGAACAACCAGTATCACTATGGCTGATACCAGCACCCCATAGCATTTAGAACTGCCATCACACTCATGAAACCAGAGTTTCCATCATCCTCAGAAACATCTAGAGCACTGGATATTTCATACTTCAGAAATTCTTTATTGATTGTTTTAGGCTTGACACTTTCAAAGGCTGTCATAATCCATTCACATGCTGCACACTCGGGCATTTGATTCTTCCTGTTAGTGTACGGCCATAATTTTTCTGTACTCATCCAAATATTATGAAATCTTTGGAAGCATGGAAGTTAAGCCTCTAGGAACCATAGCTACATCAGTTTTTAACTCATTTTCCCCTTCACTTGAGAAGCTAAGTGTCATCGGAAACTGACCCAAACTAACAAACACCTAGGTTTCAGCAAATCACCAGAAATTCTAAATTGTTTCTAGCCAGTCCAATAAGAGATTCTCTTCCATTCAGACCTTTTCCTGTTCACACACACAAAAAAAAAAAAAAAAAAAAAAAAAAAACCCTGGGGTATGTCTTCTTGGTGCAAGACCAAGAATGGTCTTGGTGCAAGACCAAGAATGCACCTCTGTAATTTCAAAATTTTGTCATTCAAGTCTGCCAAAAGACACTGTCCTATGCCATAGTGAGAAACCATTCCTACACATAAAACATGCACACTATCCTGCACTTGCTCAAAAATCTCTTTTTATCTACATCCAACCAGTTTCTTCCCAAGCTTGGAAGGGTATCATATCAACAGTTACAGCATACCAGAATTTTTCTCATAAGATAAAACAGTATCTTTCAACTGTGGATACTTAGTGGCTTTTACCAACATAGATAACACTTAGTGGCTTAGTGGCTTCAAAATGCCTTTCTTTTGCTGCATGTTTACTGAATTTCATTTTTCTGCTTTTGCCACCATCATACTTTGGAATCATCCATGTCAAAATGACATGCTGCAACTCAGTTTCTGTTTTCCTCAGAGAATCGGATTACTTGCAATTTAAAATGTGTGTTGTAGCTATATTATTTGTTTGATATTTTCCTTCAAATGACTGGAACCACAACTAAACATCTATAATTCTATGCAATATTCATGTAAAAACAATAGATTTTATACTCAATCATTAAATACACGCTACTGTGTTGCTTCAAGTTTGCTTGTATCTGTGCAAGAATATGGTAATCCTTTTGACCTCATTCAAAGTTATTAAAAAATCAGATGCAAACTTGTAATACAATAAAGTGTGCTTTTATGGTATGGTTCAGGTCTTGCAAAAAATGACATTAACCACTTAATTGTTTCATTTTTCTGCCATACTGTAACCAACAATTTTGTATTCTAGTCTATTATATGAATTCAAATCAGCAGTCAAAACTGTTATTAATTTAAGATAATTTTTGATTACGGCGAAATTAAGACATTTTGATTTGAAGTTGGCCTTTTTCTCACGAAACTGCGAAATGGAATGAAACCTTTACAGGAGATAAATATGAAAGAAGTGAATTCGCAGTGAAAGAAAATCACGGCGGTGGTGGAGTAGGATTACTAGTATCCATTTCTCAAAAGTTCCAAACTTGAATCGGATCATCTGAACTTTCCATTTTCTCATCATCACTAGAGAATTCCGATAGAGAACTTTCAGGACTACCAAAATCATTTATAGAAAATTCAGATTCGCTATCTGATCCAGTTATCAGAATTATATTTTATTATGAGCCATTTACCGTTATTCATCATTCTTTCATTTAATGACAAAATTAGGAAGAAATACTGTCTGGAAAGCCTAATACACCGAACATGTGCAAATAAATTTGTTGAATTTCTCCACCTAATGAAAAGCGATAAAACCTATCCTTGAATTTGTTTTACAATTAAATCTCTCCTGGGCTACTAGAGACATCTATTAGAAACACTGCAAAGTAAAAAATGTGAAAAATCCGGGAAAATCAGTGGATTGGTGTAGGAAAATACACTCCCCGGGCGGTGTATGAGCAAATCAAAAAAGTTTCTTTTTGCTGCACCCAAATGGTGTTTGGGCAAGATAGTTAGGTGGTCAAACGGGAAATCTGTGAGCTCACCTAACAGATAACCATTTGCAGCTCTAGTTAGGTGGTCAAATAGGAAATCTGTGAGCTCACATAACAGATAACCATTTGCAGCTCTCTGTGGACTGCATATACTTCAAGAATGATAGTACTTGCCCAGATAACAATTCATCATATTATAAATGCTTAAGATTAATTTGAGGAGCATTTTGGAGTCCAAGAAATTGTTAAACCAACATAGAGAACACTTAAATAACCAGACAATTTTAGGCTTCATCAAACTCAAACAATTTCTCCAGATGACTTCTGCAAATTTTTACCAGTTATGTATGTACCATACTGTCACACTCTACTAGAGAATCCTTCACCCAATATTTTGTATCCCACCTTTTAGAATTTATTTATAAAAGGTGTTTAAAATGCAATATATATGCATTGAAAACATGTACACTTTTTAAATACTTCTGAACACTTTAAAAATATTTATTTTTCAAGATCTTTAGAAAATACTATTCAAAAAATAGCTTTTCTCACTTTATAGCATGTGGCAAAACAGCAAAAAGCTTACCTCCCTTTTCTTTTTTCAAGAGAATTAAAATATGTTTTACATACAGCCTTAAATTGCTATTTATTAAAAACAGTACAAAAATTTTAAACACACATTAAAAAACCTTACCAGTTTATGTCCAGGAATAGTTTTCTCAAATTTTCCATCAGCAGCACACCAAATTTTTATCAGCTTGTCAGCAGCTGTTAAAAAATTATAAAAAATCTAAGATTCTGGATTATCAGCTTTTATAGCACTGCAGAACAATAATTTAAAAATTACTTTCCCTCATATATATGGAAAAATTCTGATATGCAAAAATTTCTTTCCTTTTGAAGAAGAGAGGCTTGTGTCTGATTGCCCTTGAAATCAATTTTTATTTTTAAACTACAACAAATTAAGATAGCATTTTTTAACTCCAATATGTCATTATTTTTTATGAATAAACGTCAATATTAAATTATAGAATTTATAACTAGCTTATATTATTATAATACATTAACTTATATTTTGTCTTTATCTAGCAATTTCTCTTATCTAGTTTTACCTTGTATTTTGTCTTTTGTAGTTTCTCTTCTATCTCTTTCTTTATTTTCTTCCTGAGACATAACTGTCAGTTTCTTTTTTTATCCATTTCAAGTTTTCAGTTTTCTGCTTTTTAAACATTTTCGTACGACTACCACTGCTTTCAGAAGGCTGAAACTTACTTCTTACGTGAATTTCAACTTCCCCAGCAATATCATTTGGTAAAATATCATTATTTAAAACATAGTCATTCCCTTCTTCTTCATCACTAGCTTCTGCAATTTCTGGGGAAACAACAACAATATCAATTTCATTCTGGTCATTATTCATCTAACGAATTCTAATTCTTCTTTGAAGGGCTAATGTAAGATACCTCATTATAGGCATTTTTAAAGCAGCCAGAACATGAACCAGAACATCAAAAGGAATGAATAAAAAAGGAGATTAACCGTTTCCAGCTGACCTTATGTCAGCGCAACACCTGTTTTCCCTTCCTTCCCAACACAAATATAAACATCTGATTGATGTAATGTTCTGATAAACGGTGACCTTGACTAAAAATAGATTATTCATAAAGATGGTCATTCTTTCTTTCATTAAATATTTTTCGCAAAAATACCCGCTCAAAAATTTTGCTTAAAGTAAGAGATTAATTATTATAAATAAAATGTTTGTTGAAGGCAAATATTTTTTTAGAGAAATAATCTTCATAATATTCCCTACATAAAATCATCTGCTGGTGTAAAATATCTTAGGTAATTATATTTATATATGCATTTATTTTGAGCATTGCGTCAATGCAACACCAGAGGCTAATACAGTACAAAGTCTGAAATCTGGACTGGTCGGGACTTCGGCGATTCCGGATTTGGGATTTTCCTGGATAATAGATCATCAATTTAAATTTGGTAAGATGGCATGCAAATTATACAATCAAATATATGAAACTGTAAGAACAATTATGATCTAAAGGGTATCAAAATTTACAAAAAAATCTTAACATTTATATGTTTACTTTATTAAACATTTCTTTCAATGGTAAGTTGTGTCAGATGCTTCCACAAAAAATTCAAAAAGTTCCTTTTTCTTTTTTCTTGTGTCATACAGTGGATTTTCCAATGGCATACTCCTGACATAATTTTGAGATGGATATGCCTTTATTCATTTTGTGCAGCAATTTCACTTTTTGTTTAATAGACATCGAAACATGGTTTTACTTTGTAGATCTTTTGGCAACTCCAGAATTGGAAACTCTTTTCGATATAAACGAAAGTTCAAGCTTAGTTTTTATAAAATTGCCATAATAATAACAGTCTGCAAAAAATAATAAACTGGAAAAAATTAGAAGATCAGGGAGCAGCGCAGTCTGCTACATTAATTGAAATGCCTTAGAATCAGTAAAGATAATTTTAGCCTAGCTTAATAGCATCCATTATACATTATTGGCTGTGTATCACAAGATCGGAGACGAAAGCCAAGTTGTTTCACTAAATTTTTTCTTGCTCCTATTGCATACTGAAGTAAGCCTGAACTGTATTAGTTTGGTTATTTACTATACTTACATTTATTTCTTGCACATGCTTCAAACTAATCCGAGGTCATGAATAAATAAACTCCCACATATACTTAAGGCCTTTATCTAGGGCCAGCCCTCAATACCGCCTGGTGCAGTCTCTATGGGTCCTAAATTCTGCTACAAAACACTTTCCTAAGTTCTAAATTTTCACCGTGCCTAAACTTCGGATCCCAGTGCTTTTCCTAAATCATAAAAACTTCTCATCCCTTAATTTTGCCCCTCGATGCTTTCCCAAATTCCAAAAATTTCGTCTTCCCTAATTTCTGCCATCCGGTGCCGACATATTCTGTCGCTGCTTCTGAGTTTATGGTGAATAACATATCAGTTATTCTTAATTAAAATAGCACTAAATATAATGTTTTGGCCTATGAGTTTCATTAACAAACTCTATTTTTAGCATATGAAAAGAAATTTCTGTCGAATTTTTCTTCGTCAACAGTTCTTAGAGCATTTAAAAATCTATGCCAAGCATAATGTTAGCATAAAATGTTGCCATACTCTTGTTATTCAATTACTATTATAAAAAAAAAGTTTAGACATTGTAGAGTCATTAGGTTAATTGGAAGCAGAAAAGATGAAAAATATGCAACCGCCTTTGCCGGGAATTGAACCACGGACATCTGGAATACTGGCCCAGCGTGTTACCGTTACACCACGAAGGCATGCTAGGGAAGTGGGAGAAATACCTTATATACTCCCCTTTTTAGAGGGCGACTAGGGTTTTAGGGGACCTAGTCGCCAAATCCTGGGTGCGGAGAATCATCATCTACAAGCCTTTTAGTTCGGGCGCCACTTGTAGAGTCATTAGGTTATTGGAAGCAGAAAAGATGAAAAATATGCAACCGCCTTCTCCGCGAATCGAACCACGGACCTCTGGAATACCGACCCAGTGTGCTATCGTTACACCACGAAGGCACGCTAGGGAAGTGGGAGAAATACCTTATAACATTGAAGCTGTCATGTATTGATAAACATGCAGTGATGAAAGCAAAATATAATAAATAATGACTCTCCAGGTTGCCATCAGGGATATAAAATAAGTGAATGTTTTGGTTTGAGATGTATGCCACGTAGATGCTCAGCTACAGAGCCAAATTATTAATCTCACAAATGTATGCTTACATGATTGTTTTTCTAGAACGAGGTATTTTATTTATTGCCTAAGTGAAATTAAGAATCGGAATTTTTAAGTGAAAATCTCCACATATTTTATTATGGAAGGGAAAATCATATGCACATGCATAAAGCATTAATGAAAAAAAATGTTCATGGCTTTGAAGTCCGGATTTTGGACTTTGTACTGTATATCATTTTTGTATTTTTAATTTGTATGGTAACAAAACATAATTTGGATCTGGCAATCTTTTTGAAAAAGTCTCAAACATGCCTCTTATAAGTAACTTTGGTAATAACATGTTGTTCTAATTTAGTAATTAAAAAGCAAAAGGAATACTAGTTAGATACACAGCTTCAGAAGATATGCAAGGAATTTAGGATTAAGAAACAATATTTTATCAATTACTCATTTATCAGAAGTATTACAGTACACATTTTCATATTCCACTTTTCAATATTAAAATACTATACCTAAAGGCTACATAGCAATTACAAATACAGAAAAGGAATAACAAAGTAGATTGTAACGAAAGTTTTCTGCCAAAGAGCATTCTTAATGAAGTTAAGAAAAAAAAAAAACACAAAAGCAGTCCGTTTACTGTGGGTAGTAATCACAACCATACTCTATGATTTTCTGCCAATGTTTTGGTAGTTTTACAAAGCCTTCGGCTCAGAAACTTGGTGGTGGTGAATCCAAATACAAATCAACCTCATTTTGGACATCCTATGCGTAATGGAAGATAGCACCAGCAAGATGTAGCTGCAGGTGTGAAAAAAGGTAGAAGTTCTAAGGAGTGATGTTGGGGCTATATGGTGGGTGTGGCAAAAGATCTCATACGAGTCCACACGGAGTCCAGCCGATGAATGCTGATACATGTGGTCTTGCATTATCTTGATGGAATATCACCTTTTTGCGCTGGAACTCAGTTCGACACGTTTTCTTAACAGCAGCATCAACACGAACTAGCACTTCGCTGTACACCTCACTGCGGATGATTTTACCCTTTTCCCAGACACATTTTATTCATAATACGATGGCAATCCCACTAGATAAAAAGAATGATCTTTTTGTTAGTGAAACTGCGCTTTCGATGCTGCTGACGGGCTCACTGGATGCAGGCCAACCCCCTTTCCGTCTTTTGTTGTTGAAAAAAATCCACTTTTCATAACATGTGACGAACTGGTCCAGAATTTTGTCCTTGCGTTGATATTCGAGCATATTAGTACAGGCCTGAACACGTCCATCCTTATCTGCTCGAATTAGCTCATGGGGCACTAAGCGATTGAACTTGTATGTCATGCGATGCATAGCACAACTAGTGGACATGGCACTAACTCTTTAGGAAGCTCTTGAGTGATTGTATACTAATCTTATTCCACAAATTCTTGCAGGTGCACCTCATCAACATCAGTAGGCCAGCCAGAGCCCTGTGCTTCTTGAATGTCAAGAGCTTTTGAACTTTCGTTACCAAACCTTCACAATGTCATACGACACAACATTAGTACCTAAGCTATACACATGATTTGGTAGCATTCTATAGCTGACTTTTTGCAACAGAACTGGAAGTAAATGATGGTTCTAATTTGGTAGCGTGATAGTTTCATTTCAGACACATTATACTTAACGATAAAGATATTTCTTTACAAATTTCACAACACAGTGTTCTAAAGGAAATGTGTTTCTTTCAAATGCTAAAAATCATTTGACAAAATATAATTAGACACAACAACATGAACTGCTTGGCAGACGATGTTTGCGGTGGCAGGAAACTTTTGCTAAAACCTGACATTCTTTCTAAAGATGTTACTCTGTTTCATCATTAAAGCAACCAGGGCATGCCGATTCTTGCAATTACTGTATTTGACAGCATATAAGATGCACTGGCATATAAGACGCACCCTTATTTAAAGGCACACACATGTAGATGTAGAAAACGTTATGTGTGTCTAGACCTTTATCCTGGCTAAAAATAGCATTCAGTATTGAAAGTTAACCTGTGTCCTTCACATATGAGATGCAGGTAACTAACTTTTTTGAGATAAAATTTAGGAAAAGAAATGTGTCTTATATGCCGTCAAATACGGTAACAGTGACAATAGCTTTAACTTGTAAGTGAGAAAATCAGCACTAAAAATTTTCATTTTTGGCAACTGATGTATCAGTATCCAAAACTTTAAAATGGCTACTTTAACAAAGAACTACCAGTGTTGCTGGTATGTTATTTGTAAGGATGTTATTTACATACTGTAAAAATGAAGTACTTACATGAACTTGCCAACCACTCTCCACTAGGGCTAAATTTGACAGAGGAAATTGCTTTTGCATGCCCAGCCAATGTAAATTTCAGTGAATAATTTGGTGACTGGAAATAATTAATTATATTATTCAATAGATATAAAATACTTTCTAAACTAATTTACACTATATGATCAAAAGAATCCAGAATCTGGTATTATATATCTTTAGTATATTCAGTCTCCTGCATGTAAGTAAGACATTCCTATCCTACGGGTGTAACTTTTTCAAGAAAGCTTTACATCAATTTTTGGGATTTTACAATCACGATGGTCAGTCACTTCTGTTACCAATGTGGGACAGTATGGGCTGTGCCATAGCCAGCATTCCAGTTTACCTCAGAGTATTGCCAGCACAAGCACTCAGTATTGTTAAAATTAAGGCTCTAAGCACATCAGTCTAATTCTTCAACATCTCATGTCAGCAAACCTACTTCATATTACACTAACAAAAACATGACCATACTGAAATACAGAGGTTGTTTACCCATTTTTAGAACAACTATAAAAAAGTAAATAAAAAAAAAGGCAAATGTCTTGAAATAAGAATTTTTTGCAATTATTTGAAAGCTATTATTTGAAAAGAGAAATATCAACTTCAACTTATTTTGCTTTCAAAATGTCAGGTATAAACAAGCTGTGAATTGAAGAATATGCTTTTACACTTTCTGAAGAGCAGAAAAGATTGAGAAAAGCATGGTATTAAAATTTTTTCAAGTGCAAAATAAAAAAATTAAAAAAAAAAATTTAACTGCAAATGGAAAAAGCATCAACGAATACTTCTACATGCAAAGACGACTCCAAATCAATATCCAAAAATGTACATAATGTTTCTAAAGTTAAATCGGTACTTTTCCGTTTCGCTGGTGCAAATCTCGCCAAGCAGACTTTATTGGCGACAGCATACAGTATACACACAAAAAATGTTAACAAATGTTAGTTCTAGGGATTTTTTTATTTTGAAGGCATATACATTTTAATATCATTTAAAATTTTGTAAAAACCAATAAATAAAGACAATAAATTTGCAAAAAGACATTAATTTAAGAATGTACTATGCTTTCATGGTCAACATCCTGATTCGTTGGTTCATACGATCTCATTTCACGTAAATTACGCTACAAAAATATAATTCTCTCAGTTATTATCTACATTAATTTCAAGTTAAATCTTAATTCGGAATACAAGCATAAATAAAGAATTATTTCAATTTGTACGAATAGCTTACTCAGAAATTATGCAAGACCGCAGTACTTTACTTTGCTAGTGCATTCTTATTAGAATTGATGAATTTAACTCTTAACGTTTCCTTTTCTATATTTTCGCTTTTGGGTGAGAGGTGTGATTGCATCCTTATTAATTTAATTACCACAAATGGCCTTAGGGCATAAAATTGAACTATTTGAGTAAAAATTCTATGTAATTGTATGCCAGTATTGAAAGAAACAATCAATCTGATTAGAAATGGCTGTGATTTGTTTTGAAAATGAGGTGTGAAAGGTTACCAGCAAGGATATTCCGTTTGGCATCAGTTGCACCATTATTGGCAACTTATCGCCTGCACCGGCAAAACGGAAAAGTACCGTTAAATCTTTAGTAACAAGAGAAAACCTGTCCACGTAGAGATCAATTGCAAAGTCTGTAAGTACATCTGTAGAAATAATAAATAAATATAATAAACCAAAATTTACAATTTAAAAAAGAACAATTTGTAGAACCTTGTATGAAAACTATTTAGCAAGAGATAAGTGGAAATACATAATAATCTTTGGTGAAACTAAGGATTCTCTTCCAATGGGAAATTCAAAATAAGAAGAGAAGGGGGGAATCAACTTAATGTACCATCAAGAGAGAGCTTGATGTGTGATATTTAGAAAAGAAATTCCATTTCTTCATCTCGATGACTTTCAAGAGTGAAACTTCATCAAGATAAAGCAACTTCTAAGAGTATCACTGGATTCCTTGAAAAAATTAAGACTTATTCTGGTATTGCATATACAGTCAAAAGTCGTTAATCCGGACTCGTCGGGACTTCAGCGATTCCGGATTATCGATTTTTCCGGATTATAGATCATCAGTTTAAATCGCGTAAGATGGCATACAGAAATTCTAAAATTAAAAATATGAAACCATAATTTATGAAATAAAGAACAATTATGATCTAAAAGGTATCAAAATTTACAAAAAAAAGCTTAATATTTATTTGTTTACTTTATTAAACATTTCTTTCAATGTAAGTTGTTTAAGTTGCTTCGTTTTATGTGATAATACTTTCTTTTTAATTCTAAAAGCAGACATAATTTTTTGTTCACTTACAAAGTTCCGCTGTTCAAGTCCCGTTAATCGCTGTACCGAGAATACCGACTAACTTGTCAATCGAAATTTTTTCGTTTCACTAACCTCTCTGTCACATTCTTCATGTCTTTATCCATTTTTTGCAGCAATTCAACTTTTTGTTTGATGGACATCGAAACCTACTTTCGTTTTGTATGATCCTTTGGGAGCTCCAGAATCAAAAATTCTATTTGACATAATCGAAAGTTCAAGTTTACTTTTATAGTATTGCTCTTACAGTCTGCAAAAAATAATAAGCCGAATCCAATTCGAAAATTAAGGAACAACGCAATCATCAACATTAACTGAAATAGATCATTAGATAATTTTAGCTTACACCGTCCGTTATACATAAAACGCGCACGCGAAAACGTATTCTGTGCTTGCGCACACGCAAATGCGCAGTCGTAAGAGATCTTACGCGCACGCGTAAATGCCTATGCGCATGTGTCAACGCGGCGCATGCGCAGAAAGTTTTAACTTTGAGGTCCGGATTATAGATCATTCCGAATTATGGGTGTCCGAATTAACGACTTTTGACTGTATACCTTTTCAACATATTCCTGCAAAGTACCATGATGTTTAACCTACGAACTATTTTGCCTATGGTTTCTTAAAAAAATATTTTTCTAAGTGCGAACCCACCAAAATGGATTGATTTTGAAAAGAAATGAAAGTGGAAAGGAAACCAATACCCCTTGAAACTTTACATAAGATCCTTCTATCATGAAAATAGCGACGCTATCACACTGAACAACAGAAATAAAACTATCACACTGAACATCTAAAAAAGTACCCTTTTCATTTTAAACATTAATTAAATAACCCCAAAATTGTTCTAAAAATGTGTCATCATCATCTGTATAACAGATCCACATCAGATTCTAGTCACATGTCTGAACATGCAGAACTGTCCCAGTTCAACAACTCTGAAGCAAACATTAAGAAACAGGAGGTTGTTAAAGTTGTGCAACTTTAGACAACCTCTATTTCATATCTTCTGCTTCATTATGATCATTACAAACTTACTTTTCTCCTCTTTTATAACTATCCAACTTCACAGCATTATGAAAATGAGAGAATTTACTACATTCAGAAACATCTAGATACTTTTGATCATAGAGTGAATTTAAATAGCAATATAAGCAATATTACAATATGAATGACAATTATGAATTTAAACGAAATTAAAGATTGAACAATATGACAACCATTAGATGTCTTTTACGTGAACTTGCCATGCCAGTTCACTTGAATAATTATCCAATTGTGTAACAGGGGAAAAAATATGCTATCAAAAATCAATCTACATGCATTTATAACAAATATGAAAGCTTATATTATTAATTATGTTTAAATGAGGCTTCAGCATGTTAACCTAACCAGTCTTATTCTTTAAACACCAAGTTGGCATCAGGATTATCACAAAGTTCATATTTACTTCTTGCACTGATTTTGAGGTTGCCATGCTTTTTTTTTTTTTTTTTAATATGGCATCAGATGTATTTTCTCATCCCAAGGACTTTTGCTGCATGAACTGTGCAACATAAGAATCATGATGATGGCAAACCATTCCTCGTTCATGTTTATTCTGCTACTACAAAAAACTTTCGAATACAGTCAAAAGTCGTTAATCCGGACTCGTCGGGACTTTGGCGATTCCGGATTATCGATTTTTCTGGATTATAGATCATCAGTTTAAATCTGGTAAGATGGCATGCAGAAATTATAAAATTAAAAATATGAAACCATAATTTATGAAATAAAGAACAATTATGATCTAAAGGGTATCAAAATTTACAAAAAAAAAAAAAAAAAAAGCAGCTGTTTACTTTATTAAACATTTCTTTCAATGTAAGTTGTTTAAGTTGCTTTGTTTTATGTGATAATACTTTCTCTTTAATTCTTTAAACAGACATAATTTCTTGTTCAGTTACAAAGTTATGCTGTTCAAGTCCCGTAATTGCTGTGCCGAGAATACCGACTAACTTGTCAATCAAAAGTTTTTCGTTTTCACTAACCACTCTGTCACCTTCTTCATGTCTTTATCCATTTTTTGCAGCAATTCCACTTTTTGTTTGATGGACATCGAAACATACTTTCATTTTGTAGATCCTTTGGGAGCTCCAGCATCGGAAATTCTATTTGACATAATCAAAAGTTCAAGTTCACTTTCATAAAATTGCTCTTACAGTCTGCAAAAAATAATAAGCGGATCCAATTCGAAGATTAAGGAACAACGCAATCATCAACATTAACTGAAATAGATAATTAGATAATTTTAGCTTATACCCTCCGTTATACATAAAATGCGCAGGCGAAAACTTATTCTGCGCTTGAGCACACGCATATGCACAGTCGTAAAGGTCTTACGCGCACACGTAAATGCCTATGCGCAGAAAGTTTTTAGCTTTGAGGTCCGGATTATGGGTGTCCGAATTAACGACTTTTGACTGTATAAGCCAAAGGCATGCTATTCTTAAACAAGTTAAATATTTCTCAACTCCTTTACACAAGCTTTCAAAAAATGTTTATGTATTAACACAACCCCCACGGCCATTTTATTTACAACTGAAAAAGTAGCTTGTCAGATGATAGCTGGTAATTTTAACAACTTCCTTTTAAAAGACTTCCAAATGATTGATATTTGTCATAAGTCAGCAAATATCATCAAAATTAAAAAAAAAAAAAAAAAAAAAAAAAAAAAAAAAAACCCTAATAATTTGAAACACAAATTCCT